AAAAATCATAGAAATCTACTTATCTGTGATGTTTCATTCTATTGAAAATCAACAAAATCACTTTATGCCATGACCCATATAAAGGTTTTGTGGGCAATTTCGCAAAAATGTTGTGCATTCAAGGTTTTTTTTTTTTTATTTCTCTAAAATAAAATAAAAAAAAAATCAAAGAAATTCTGCTTTTCTTTTTCTTTTGTTTTAGGGCATAAATTTGTGATGCCACACAAAAGACACATTTCATTTTCTGAGGTCACGGCTTTATATTGCAGTAAAAAAAAGTGACCGGGACAACAAAACACCTGGTAACAGCTTTGGAGTTCAGAGGGTTAAAGGTTCACAATAAAAAAAAAATAAAAATTTGAGCAGCCCTCAACCAACTTTACACATGAAAGAACTGTATGCTTGTCCAGCTAAACCAGCGTCTAAATCTTATTTAAAGTTAAATAGCTGGAGTGCACATTTAATTAGCATGAAGTGACTTAAGAAGACAAAAGCTGGCAAAGTTTAAAAGCTTTATTTACCAGAAGCTCCCTTTGGAAAGCGCAGTGGTCGGCTGCACTGAGCTGTCTGAAGGAGTCCTCGATGAGGTGGGATCGTCTCAGAGAGAGCTGGAAGACCGGGGCGGGGGCCGAGTCCACGAGATCACCCAACGATTCATCGGGCCACAACAAAGCCAGGTTATGAATGAATTGATGCACTTTCTGGAATGACAAAACCTTCCCTTACAAAGATATCTCTTGAAAGATAGAAAGCAAATATAAATATAGTGGGAGATGTTCTTCAAAATGTGCAAATTCAGAGAAAAGTCTGTTTTTGCAGCGACAATAATGCGGTGCAATGTTTACGTTGATCGTATTTTTCATTCATACTGTACCTTCATAAAGAATGCATTGATGTTGAACACTGCCACCTTGCAGACCAGCGTGAAAACGAATGGGTAGCGGCAGAAGATAGCGGGAGTGTGCTGATGATCCTTTAAGAAAATAATAATTTAGCAAAGAAATAATTTCAGCAAAAAGCAGTCCTAAACCTATTCAGTACAAATGTACAGCTAGTTTCTCAGAAACACTCGAACATCGTGTTGCTTTTACCTCCACTTTGGAAAGCTGCCTCCACAAAGTGACGTCTAAGTATGGCTGCACATTGCCGATGATTTCCTCGACGTAAAAGGTGCTCAGTGGGACTTTGTAGGACTTTCCGACTTTGTTTGCCTGTAAATAAACACAATCATTGTAGAAAAATAAATTATTAGAAACAATATTTTTATTTCATAATGAGTAAGAAGTAACGTCTTTTGTCGCTTTATACCATTTTTTCCCCCATCGTCAATAGACGGTGATGGTCAGAGTTTAAAAGGCTGTTAATATGGGATTAGCAGTTGTAGATATTTGTGTTTTTCTACAGGCCTTGCAGTTGATTTTTTAATGTAAAAAAAAGACTGAATGATTGGTAATTTGACCCCATTTTTGAAACTGCAGAAGAGCCACTGATGACAGAAAGAACTGACTTTGTAGAGCAGCTTGAGGACTTCCAGTAGGTATCTGACTCCTGGGTTGTGAGTTTGTAAGAGCCCGTTCTTCAGCATGAAGGCCAGAGCGTTCCTAAAGACCATGATGTGCCTCTTCAGTATGGACGCAGGCAGCGACGACCACCAGCTTCCTGCAGCACAAAAACAACACAGGCTTTCTATCGAACATCTCACGTTGAAATCATTATAAAGTTATATTTATTTTATAGTTTATACTGCGTATATCTGTTTTGAGAAGAGTTCATGAGCATTATTTAGAAATAGAAAACAAAAAATTCAGAATAAAGTGAGCATTTCATAAATATTGTTGTTTTGCAAGTCCATGTGATGCATTAAATCAAATTATATAATGTTCAAAAATACTAACTGCAAACCTGTGAGAAAAAAGTCTTTAGACAAGAAATAAAGTTTTCTGTATTTGTTTACTTAGGGTTGCCAGAGTCTTGTCATTGAGCTCCACAATGATGACTGCCAGAGTTAAAGACACGTTCATGACATAAGACTCCTCTTGCAAAAGGGGGCATGACAGCAGAATCGGGAAGATCTCTGGAGATTTTAAGAAAGCTGTTGATAAGTCAAGCAACTCGACCAGGAGCTTCATGTTTACCTGCATGGAGAGGAGATCGATGAGATTACAGTTCAGTGTTCACACACGTGGTTACAAATTACAGTCAATGTAGCTTTCAAGCTACAAATGGATGTATTTAACTCATAACCATTTGAAGGATGCTCTTAACTGATTGTTTGATCCATGGTACTGCCAACAGCTGGTCAAAGGCTCGGCAAGAAGCCTCAAGGTCCACAGTTATGGCACCTGCTTCCAGTGGACGCTCACTGTTATTAAAAGTAGAGCATTAAAACAAAGAAGTGAGTGGCAGTACCGGCCTTTTAAATCTAAAACTGTTTCCTGTAGATTGTAGAAAAAGGGCTTACTTGGCTTTTGTGAAACTTGCAACAAGACTTGAACTGGTCAGAAACATTGATGCAATTTCTCTGTTGTACAAAAGGAGAAAAAAAACATTAGAATTAAACACTGCCATGATGAAACATATGTTTAATATGTGCAGGTATTTACAAAAATAGCAGAGCTGCAGCAAATTACCTCCTCACTTCCACGTTTCCATGCATCGCTTTCAGCCATTTCTGCAGCTTTGTCTCATCGAGGCGCCCAGTTATCTTTCCATGATCTGAGTTCTTAAAAAACAAAAAGTTAGATAAAGTTAGAGGGCAGGAAAACACGTTTTTGTATGATGTAAAAGCTGAGCTTTTAGTTAGTTACACATTACCTTTGCAGGTGAAGAGTACATGAAGTTTGTATTCCACCCAGCTGATATTTTCAAATCTGCTTAAACAAATTTCATTAGTCACATAATCTTTCTCTACAAATCAAACATTAATTTAATTAGTAACATTAAACTTTGACTTGAATGTGAGAAACTGACCAAGAATAAGAACCATTACTAACTCAAAAATTAGTTTAAAAAAATTGCAGTCTTTGACAATAAATGCTTCTTCAGTTTGTTTTTGTCACAATTTTTCTCACTGTGGCCTCATTTTTCACTGCGATATAAAGTCTTGCATCATTATGGAAACAGCACAACGATGACGAAAAGTACAGACAACTTACAACTGTCATTTGTACAGTATAGCAGAGCTATAATGCCATAAATCATAAAATATGAAAAATACATTTATTTCTTTATTGATTTTACACAACATAATAAATAAAAATGGAAGCAAGATGTACAACATTTTTCCAGTTGCCTACCAGTGTTACCAATAGTGGGGAAAAGAACAGTGACTCTGATTTGCTTCCATACTTACTAACACAGCCTGCAGTTCAGCCGAGTTGAGCTGAAAAGTCCCTTAATTTTTCTAACATGACTGTTGGTCAGAGCTGAGTCACTAATGGCTTCACAGTTGTGTGGAGGAACACAGAATGTTTTTGTTTTTGACAGAATCTAACTAGAGAAAATTATGCATTTTGGCAAAGTATTTAATGAAGCATGGAGAACAAAGTGATTTAGATTTAGATGAAATATCACAATTTAAAGCTAAGATTGCTGCTACGTTCTGACTGAACAGCACATCACAGATGAGCAGTTTGTGGACAGTTGGAAATCTGAGTTTTGGTGTTCAGAGAATTATGAAGAAGTTCAAAGACACATCCGCCTCATATGCTTCATAAAAGCATCCTCTTCCCAGAGCTAGTGCATACATACATACCGTTGGGTATAACTACTGCACTGTCAGTGGTCCATGGAAGCTGAACCAGAGTCGGAGTCAGGCTGCTCTCTGACTTTCCAGTTCCTATCTGACCTTTGACCCCATTGCCAAAAGCCCAGAGCTGGCCAGAGGAGCCCAAAACCAGAGTGTGACGCCTGAGAGAGCAGAACCAAATGTGAATTTAATAAGAAACTGATAAGACATAAAACATAAGAGTATTTCACAAGTATTTAAATAAGTTTATCTATTCAGAGCTTCCTCAAGAATCTTATGATTGTGATAAACCACAAAATCAAATAAGACTTCCTACCTGCCACAAGCAATCTGGGATGCAGGTCCATCCAGACCTTCAACCAGCCTGGGTCTCACTTCATTGGCAGTGGAGTTGTGACCGAGCTGACCTTGGCTTCCCTCTCCAAAAGTGAAAACTTTACCATCCTAGAAATCACATGATAACCCCTTAGACATATCTTTACAATGTGACACTGAATTATTGGGAGAAGTCAGAGGATTTAATCTCATTCTGTGCATCACACGAGCAGAGAATCAGTGGAGTTCATACCTTTGTTAACACAGCAGAATGTGACTCTCCACAGCTTATGAAGGAGACACCCAGAGGTCTGAGGGCAGGAACCATGCAGATGTTGAACCTGCCTGTTTAAGATGATGGGAGGGAAAAGATGGAAAAATTATGATACACATAGTTTTTGATTGTTGTGACATAAGAGACCTATGCATCATTAGTGTGATATTTTTTTTGCATGAAAAACCTGATGTATACAATCAGACACATTCAGTGCACACACAATCCACCACAGATAGTAATGCAGGCACCAAAAACGCTGGATGTAGCAAAAATTCTACAAATTAAAACCCATATATGAATTGATCTTGAATCCATTCTGAACGTATCTCTAGATTTATCCACCTTTATGGAGAATCTGTTGCTTGCTAAATGTGAACAAAACCAGTGTGACACTACGTAACATTAAATGATCATACCTTTCTCATCCACCCTGTTGAGCCCCAGCTGGCCGAATTTATTGGCCCCACAGCAGTACACCAGGCCCGGGAGCGTGAGGAACAGAGTGTGGGTCGCTCCGGCTGAAATCTGGGTCACTGCCACCCCGGTCAGAGCACAAACCAGGACCGGTGTGTACTGCAGAGCTACCTCCTTCCCATGGCCCAGCTGACCATGACTGTTCAGACCCCAGGAGAACACGTCTCCTCCTGGAAAGTGGAGAGTAACGACGAAAAATGCTGTATGTAAATACACTAAAGAAATGTCATAGAAAATGAAGTAAAAGATGTGAAATGATTTTCTAAACTCTGTTAAACATTTGTCTAGCTTATCAGGGTACACGGACATCATGGGTGATATAAATAGAAATCTTGGTTCAGTGTTGTAGTTGCAAGAAAACGAGCGTCTCCACAATAACGCTAACACAGTTTATAGCATCATACAAGTGTTATTTCTCTACTACCATCCATCTACTAAACAGGGTAACATGTGGGGCAGTTATAAGCTTTTCTTTTGGAGTCCTCCTACATTAATTCGCTCACAAAAACGTGTCTACACTTCCATATAAGCACCTAATCACAAGCACAATTTCAGATATAAATGGTCTGTAAGAATTCTGTAAGAATAGCCACTTGTGATGATTTTTTTTCTTTACTTGAATAATCCAGCTGTATTTTCCTAAATCTGCTAATACAAAACATCTACTTTGCACTTTATGTTGCCTGCAGCAGTAAGAAAACTGGATACAGAGCAGAGATTTTAAAAGTAAAACTTAATTACTGTGACATTAAACATAGTTAAAGATTACAAGCTGTGAAACGAGAGTCACCGCTTACCTTTAGTCAGTGCCAGGGAGTGGGAGTTTCCACAAGCGACTTGTACTATCTGTATGGGCATTGGTATAGGCACCCGACTGCATGGTGATGAGATGATAATTGGTTAAAATATGAAAAAAAATCTCATGAGTTTGCACTTTTAACCACTGTTCACTGACTTTTAGTGTGCATAGCTGTATGTAGGATGAACAAGCTCTTGCCTTGGTCTATGACTGGTGCACATCAACGCTGGTGACTCTCCCAGCTGTCCATCCTCTCTTTCCCCCCAGGAAAACACGTGTCCAGATGCACACAGAGCCAGACTGTGGTCCTGACCACAAGCCATGGCCACCACATCACCCAGCCCCTCCACACGACCTGACCACAGACAGAAATTGTCCAAAAAAAAAAAAACCCAAAACAAAACAAGTGATAGAAAGTAAAGTGTAAGGCCGCATGAAAAAACTTTAACTTCACAAAATCTTTATAGTAGCCACAAACACACTAGAAAACCTGAGCATGGCATAAAAATCTGTAGCCAGTCTTCATTGACAGTGTTACAATATTGAGGCACCTCAACGTATTTTTATTTGTAGCTTTTTGTGTTAGCAAATCTTTTTCACATTAGGGCAAGAGTCATCTTATTTATGGTGCATTACTGCAGTTAAAACCATTACTTTACTTACTACAATGTTTTTTAAAGACATTTCTTATATGAAGTAAATGTTTTCATTCTTCTTCTCTTCTGTCTTTTCCTGCAGCTTTCCATCAGTTTTATTCATGCTATAAAAAAAATGTGCTCAACTTGTCTGTACTGTTTTTGATTTATCTAATATAAATGATTTAGATTATTTAATTTATTTAGTTTGTTTTTTTGTTTTTTTTTAAATGATGTCTGTGTGTGATAAGATGCCGTAGAAATAAACTTGCCTGCTTGTTGTGGGTATGCGGATGTTTTCAGGCTTTGCCTCTGATCAGACGTTGATAAGAGATGAGTCAGTTCTGGCTTAAAATGTTTACTCCACCCAAAGCAGAACTTCCTGCCCAAACACTGTTGGTTTTAAAGGTTTATTCCACTCAAAGTACTACTTTGTGTTAGAGTTTTGAAGTTTTATTCCAATCAAAATACCCCATTATGCCCAAGTACCTATAACTTTAAAGCTTTAAATTCCACCCAAATAGTACTTTCTAACAAACAAGTTATGAGTTTGTAGATTTACCTCACATAAAGTACAACTCTGTGCACAAGCAGTATTTGTTTTAAAGGTTTATTCCACTCTAACAGTACTTACTTTCAATGCATTGTGGTTTTAAATGTGTTGTTTTTCCGCGCTAAAGTGTGCATAGCCATTTATTTATGTTTCTTTTTGCCTGTGTTTGTGTGCTGCAAAAGCCAGATTCAGTTTGTAATAAACAAGTGGTCTCCATGATATCTGGTCCCAACATAAATAAATAGAAATAAATAGAAAAACAACACACAGCGGTCCTGAAAACACAGCCTCTGTCTCTGCTACAGAAATATTCTGCTGCTGCTTCACTTTCGTTGTCTGGACGGTGAAGGATGAAACGAAACCGAAACCTAACTCTGTGATTCATCCTGCGTAATATGCGCACCAGTGATGACTTATAACTTTTGATTGACGCAATAAAGTCATGAAGGAATCAGCTGAGCGACACAAACAATGAAATCCACCCAAACAGACTTCACACCCTCCTGGAGAAAAGAAATAATAAAACTAGGAATATATAAACTCACTGACTTTATGTTTAAGTCAAATATCCTGCAGTTTTTTGAAAACAAAATATAACACCGTCCTAGACTCACCTAAAATCTTTCCATCTTTGCCCTTCTTTCTCCCCAGTTGTCCCTGTGCGTTGTGTCCGCAGGAAAAAACGTCTCCGTCCGCGTTGAGCAGCAGCGTGTGTCGGTCCCCGCAGCAGACGTCGGTGATGGTCCCGGGGACGGACCAGGTCACCGGGCTGAGGGCGGCCTGAGGACCGAACTGTCCCTCGGAGCTGTCTCCCCAACACCACAGATGCATGTCTCCACCTGACACAAACTGACTTCTTCACTGCCTCCACCGGGCCAGTTATCTCAGCCGATGCTGCGTTCAAATGCTGTCGGAGATTATACGGTCACCTGTGGATTGCGCAGGAAACCAACTCATCCTGAAGTACGACTATAAAAGTATTGCACGGCTCTTATGTAAAAGTTAAAACGTCTAATACGGTAGTAAAGTTTGCCACTGGGTTGTTTATGCACTTGGTATTTACTTTGTAGAAGCCACGAATGCACAACCAGTGGAGCTCTCGCATTCACGAGCCTACATGAAGGCAGCACAAGATCGGTCTAAGTGTGGGAAAAAGGTGGGACTCAAAAAACAAAAAGTATGCAATATATTTTCAGTTAATAAAACAATGTACAGACAAGTTATTCTGCTGTTTGTTGACATTTATGGCAAGACAGCAGCCGTTCATAGGAATAAAACACACAATGGAGACACGTTAAACCGACATTGTTTTGTTTAATGCAGAGAACATATACAAAAATAAGACAATCATAGCAAATTATTTAGTTTCACAAAAATGTGCTGAAATCCTATTGTGTGAGCAACATTCACGATGTATATTTTCTATATATTCAAAAAAGGTACCAAAAATAAGACATGGTTTTGTTTTCACAGAAATGAAACTTAGACAAATGCATTACAAAGTTTTTCTGCAGGGAGGTGCCATGTGAGCTTTGCTAAACCTAAGACAAATGATGGTGCATTTGGTTGGAAAACAGTCCATTTAGTGTTCTCTACAAGCGTAAAACCCACTGAAACATGCAATCATTTTATTTATATGTCAATATACACTGTAAATATACAGTACATACATCAGTATTCAATTCTGAAATCATTTGATGTCATCACTTTTTGTCCTATCAAATCCTTCATCTACACATATACACATGCTTGTATGTCTTAAAAAGTTGGAAGAGCAAAAGAACAGCTGTGGGAATATGAGGAGATTTATTCCACTCTTCTATTAGCCCCCCTACAACTTTTTTTTTTCAAAGTCACAAATGTAAAAATATCTTCATATATCCGTCAATAACACCCTGGGACTGAAATTTTCATTTTACAAGTATTTCAAGGAGTGCTCTATAAAGGGTTAAGGCCAAGTAATATTGGGGGAGGCTCGAGGAAACCAGCTGAATGATGCTCTGTCAAAGGGGCACTGCTTCATTTGACCATTTAAACTTTCCCTGTTGCTGACCAACTCCTCGCCATCGATCACGTCATCAGAAACAGAGTACACACCGACAGACCCGTCCTCAAAACCCACAAACACACACTGCCACTCGTACACAACTGTCAGCGGATTCTTAGACAGACGTACACTTCCTATTCTTTCCCCGTCTGAAAGTCGTGTGACTGTGAGGACGGGCTTTGCGTGCAGGTAGCAGGTACAGCTATTCTCCAGAATGGGCGGTAGGGATACGTAGGCAGCATAGCATCCGGTTTTGTCCAAACATGCTTTAATGACAGGGCCCTCGGCTTTGAATGAGCATAATCTGACCTGAGATAAGTCTAAGAGGTTGATGGTGCCATTATCAGTGGACAGCAGTGCGTAGCTCCCATCAGAGGACATCTGGAAGTCTTGTGGCTGACAATGAAACGTATACGGCAGCTGAAAGTGCCTGCACACCGTCTCCTCTGCTACCTTCCAGGTGTACACTGCTCCTGAGGCGGCCATCACCACCACAAAGTCTGGGTGCTCTGTAAGGGTTTGGAAGGCAATAACCTGCTCCGAGCTTTCCACACAGGAAAAACGCTTGCTGATGGAGCCCGACCATAGACTGGCAGCCAGCAGGTCTCCATCGCAACGGCCAATGAGATACGTGCTCTCTGGAGACACCTGAGCGTCAGACAGGTACGGGTGTATGCTGCAAACGATGCCCCCATGTGCCATCTTCCAAACCCGGGAGAGGCCTCGCTTAGAAATGCTCACTCCAATTTTGCTGTTAGGGGCAATCAGGATATTTGTAGCCCTGCTGCCGCTGATACGCACAACATTCTCACCTGTTTCTGTGAGCCAAACGTAAATGTCTCCTGCTGACAGTGACACAAGGTGGATGCTGTTCAGAGAAAGCTGCACTTTTTCCACCGGGCTGTCATGCAGGAAGCTATCATGTGGAAAACCTGTGTCTGAACTCCATCTCCATACTGTCTCTGACCCATCTGCAGTGTAGAACCAAGCGCCTGTTTTTTCAACCACCACTTCTTTCACTCCACACCCCATTTTCGGAGCTGTTCCTGCAGCATCAATCATTTCAGAGTCCCACGCTGTCAGACAGCCGTTTTGATGAACACAAATGACATCCGAGGACATTCTGAAGAGCGTACGGGGCTGCTTGGTTGTTTCTAAGGAAAGAACGCACTCCCCAGTGCTGACCATCCACACCAAGACAAGACTGCAGGTGTCTAACAAAGCCAAGAAAAGGTGGCCGTCCTGGGAGAGCACAGCTTGAGTGAAGGCCTTCCCTTTTGGAGCCAAGAATTGGTCCCACAGCTCCCAGTTACATGTATCCCACAGAGAAACCTGGTTGGCTTGACACACCAGAAGTGTATTGATTTCTTCAGAATGATCCATGCTGAGAATGTTATTAGATTCTCCCCGATTGAAGTTTTCTTTGACAAGTCTGGGCGGTTGTAATTTGGCTGCCACATCCCATAAGGACACATTCCCATTTCTGTCAATACACGCCATTTCCCTCTTGTCTTCACAGAGGATTATCGATGTAACTGCACTGTGGTTTGAGTTTGAACAGGTGCCAAGCAGACTGCCGGCTTTGATGTCAAATATGGACACTGTGCCTTCATCCCGCCCACAGAACATGAAAAATCCATCAGAGGAGAGAGCCAAACAGGTCACAGAGCCCTGGCACTGGAAATGAGTCAAGGTCTCACTGGACATGTCAAACACACTCACAAAACTCTCATCTTTCCACCACAAAAATAGCTTTTTCTGACAAGCAGCAAATCCCTCGATTTTGTTTGGTGTTTGGCTACACTCAAAGTCTTTCTTCAAATGGGCTTTAACCTCTACAAGCATTTCTGGGCCAGCCACATCCCACACAAACAACTTGTTGCATTGAGTTGAAAGCAGGAGGAATTGATTGCTGCTTTTCACTCCTGCAAACTTGAGCTCCTCCTGTTTACAGCTCAGTGACAGTTTGACTATATCGCGTCCAGAGTCACTCAAGATCCAAGCAGACCCGTCATCCAGTGTCTCGGCTACGATCCCGCACTCTGTAGCAGCAGTTTCTGTTACACAAGCATCCTTGGTTTTGTTGTAGCACTTTATATATTGAACGGGGAGAACAGTGGAGGGACTAGGACAAATTGCTGTTCCTAATCCCCGTTCTCTGCACCTCCTCTCCTTTCTGATCTCTCTGACATAACACTCGAGAGCAGGAAAGACGTCTAGATAAGGGAGGAGGCTTGTCTCCATCACTGTGAGCAGCTGCAGAGGTGAGCTCTGCAGGAAGCAAGCAGAAGACTTCAATGTGCTTGCTAGGAGGAGTCTTTCTCTTAAAAACTGATACGGAAATGAACCTTCATCGGGCTCCAACATGGCTACCAGATCTCCTAAAAGACCAGCTTGAACCATCGCCTGATGAAACCCTAATGACATTAACAACCCCTGTTCCAACTCCTCCCACCTGCCACTTTGTTCCAAGTGATAAGGCAATTCTAGGACTTTCCTCATGTTTACCCGACCAACATCTTTGGAAGAAGGGAAGACAAAAGGCTGACTGGTTGGCTGCCTGTCTGTGTCTACATTCAAGGCCTTGTTTAGTCTAGATGTCTGGTTTACAAGAAGTGGTTCCTCACTTCCACAAGCCCAACGGCCACTAAAATAGTCCACCATCTCCGAATGAATCTTCCGCCGCACCTCATGAGAGCCTAAATACCTTTTAGCCACAACCAGTTTGAAATGCCGGCTCACCCAGAACAAAACCTGCGAATCAGCAACTTTCCTTTTCATAAGAAAGCCCTTTAAATCCAAAAGAAGTCTCTCCACGTCAACTTGTGGGATCCTCATCTTAGATTGAGCGCCTTCACTGGGACAGACATGCTCAGCCAGAACTTCGTCTTGACTGGACAGCAGGTCAACAAGCTCAACTTCCGAGAGGCCAGTCCGAGAGAGGGTGAGGTAAGAGACGGCACGAGCCATGAGGGTAGAGCCGTGTATCTGTTCGAGGTGATCCAGGAGAAAAGAAATGGATGAATGGATGCCGTCGGGGAGAGACGACTCAGTCACATCTGAATCTGATGAGAGAAGAGAAAGTGAAATGAGTGAAAAGTACTGAAATTATTTTCAAGTTTAATAGGTAAGCTATTTTCTAATGCAGGAACTTGGGAGGCTAGCAATTGAGCATGTTCTGAAACCGCCCCCGTAGAGCAACTTTCACCGCCAATTTGGGGGGGAAATATAGTACCTATTCCAGGCTACGTACGATTGATTGGCCCTGAAAACTGCCGTGTGGGGCTTGACATCAATTTGGTAAACTCAGAGTTATGTTTAAAGATGGTTTTTCCATGTCCTCGTTAATACTAGTCTTGTCCTCTCTAACATTTCATTCAAGAATGTAAAATTCAGCGTTTAATCCTACATCACAAATTCTCCATTATTCTGTTTCCTACATGCTTGGAGAACTGGTTACATCCAGTCAAAACTATTTGCTGTTGTTTAGGTGCACTTGGAGTTAAACCCACAATCAAAGCTGTTTGGATCCTACATCACAATGGAAATGGAAAGGCTGAAAGGCCCTGATTACAAAGCAGTTCCTGTGAACATTAGCACCACCTCATGCCTGTCCAGAGTTCCTGCTGTGGAAAGTGGCCTATTGTGTATTTTTTTTGTCATCAATTACAAATCTTGGGAAATGTCCAAAACCAACAATGAATGGAAGAGCTTACTGTTCTGTGCCATAGAGTTTTACACTCTATTACAAACACATAAGTTACCCACCTCACTGCAAGGAGAGGTATGTTGCTTGATTACAATGAACATGTTTGTCAATTTTAAACCTATGACAACCCTTTATAAAGGTTCCGTACTGATTAAAAAACATGTTTTTCCTGTTAGCAGTTGTTGTTTTTATACAATACAGATATACTGGCACTCCTTTGATCTTCTTGCACAGTGAAAAACTACTCCATCAATGCTTTCAGAGTAATTCTTCCTGCTTGCTGCAAAACTGGAAAACCGCTGTGGCCATTTGTTTATGAAAAATATTTGTAAAAAAGATGTGAAGCCAAATATTTGTGACAGATATATCAGGAAAGAATGGGTTTGGTGCTGTTTGACAGCATGTCAAATTTGGAAAATAGTGACAGTGCTTTTGGTCATTTCATGAGATTTGTTACTAGTGACTACAAAAAATAAAGAGTATCAGTTATACCGGAGTGCCACAGCGAGGCGTGTGCGTGCAGGAGTCGAGCGTAGAGAGGAAGACAACAGGACGTCAGCGCCTGATTCACCAGAGCTTGTTGTCCTGAAGTCACCCTCCTCCCTGAACCTCTCAGCAGCGACGTCAGCATCTTCACACACTGTTTCCTGTCCACCAATCCCAGCTGCACACATACATATCCTGATACCTCCCCATCACCCTCTGACACACACTGAGGAGGACCGCCTTGTGGGTAATGTAGTTTGATGACTTGCAGGAGATGTTTTCGGTTGGAGGAAACCGTGAGGATGAGTTTGACGCCTGGTGGAAGGGAGGAGGGGAGGCTCTTGATGATCTGAGGGCCAAAGTTGTTTTCGAGTTGATCCAAGCCATCAAGGAACAAAATGAGAGGCCGTTTGGTAGAAGGAAGGAGGGTGAAGAGGGATGAGAGATGTTCTTTAAGTTCAGACAGACAAACGTCAGGTTTAATGATGTCAGAAGTGAATCCTCTAGGATCTGGACAGGATATGTTCAGGTTCTGCTCTTTGGTGGGTTCATGGTGAGAATCTAGAACAGATGTTGGACTGCAGCTGGTTTTGTCCTCTCTGGGGTTTGTGATACACCTAAGACTGTCTGGATCAGCGCTCGGGTTGAAGCTGGGATCCTGCTTTGAGGAGGAGTCAGTGTGATATCTGCAAACTATCTGATAACAAAGGCTGGACAGAAGATGCTTTGGTGAAGTATTGATTGACAGGTTGCAAAAATAACCGATCACCACAGGATCGCTGTCTGACAGCCAAGACTTGATCTGTGGAAAGAGCCAGAGAGAAGGAGAACTTGATTTGATGTTAGCAAGACCATGTAGCACACATTCCAGCATAATGCAAATGTCCTTTCGTTTGGGTTTGCGTTTCTATGTTTGGCAGCTAATTAGTCTTTTTTTGAACCATTTTATTTTTCTTGTTTTGTCAGTAATTTCTCTTGATAGAGCTACGGGTTATAGATAGAGGGGTTTTTCAACCCTCTCAAGAGCTTTGTTTAAGTCAACAGAGGAGAATCACCAGCACCAAAATGAAAAGAACAGAATAAAAAAATCTATAATTTTTTTTTTACCAGCTTTGGTAATGAGAGTTTTATTTACTCATAATGTGCATTTTTATTTATCAAATTGTCAAAAAGGAACAGCAAAAGACAAAAATGTGATTGCTTTACAATATGAAAACTAAGACTGTCTAATAATTTCATTTAGTTCAATCCATGAATTAAATCCAGTTATTACGCAAACAGGAACAGATATTTTTAAAATGAACTGCCTTTTTTTACTAATTTAAAAACAAATAATAAGCCAAATAAAGGAGGAATATGTGTATTTATTTGTGAATATATATTTCCAATGCCACTGTTTGCAGCATGTGCTTTACTGTTTTATTGTTTTGCTGTTTGGATCCTGAATAGGAAAGTTATTAAGAGCTACAGGGAACCTTAAAATCCAATGTGAACACAACCTTTATTGAAATATTTTCTGAAAATAGCAAGAACAGTTAATTTATGAGAACAGTTTCACATTTCACTGCAGTGCTCCTACCTGCTGAGTGCAGTGTGCCAGCAGGACTGTCTTCCCTGTGCATGGTCCTCCCATCACCACCAGTGGGCGCTGTTGGTCCCTCTGCTCCACATAGGCTCTGACCTGCAACCAGTGAAAGTTAAACTTCAGTGGTGCTAAACTGCTGCGGAAATTTTTTGCCACCAACTTTCATGAAAGCTTCAATACACAGTGACAATAAAGTAGAAAATAACAATGACAGAAAACGACAGCTGAAGAACTTTAAAGTACTGCCCACACCAGAGGCAGGTAAAAATATGACTGTTTTCTTGTCTCTGTAAAACCTTCCATCCTGACCTTTTCCTCCTCCGGCTGATGGACGTCGTAAAATCGAGCGAGGATGTCACACAGCTCCTTCTGCTCGGCCTCCTCTCGGGATAAAGCATCGCCGAGGTCACAGTCTTCAGAGATGTTCAGGTCGTCCATCAACCCCACGAGGTCAGAGTAAACCTGCTGGCACAGACGCTCGACATAGCCCCGCCTCCTGGTCGTTGTGTAACCATGGCGACGGTCGCACTCAGTGGTTGTGGCGTAGACTAGAAGTTTGGAGGAAGTGACGAGAGCAGGGAGGAAGACGTCACGAAGCTCTGACAATAATTCATCGCTGGTGGGTGTTTTCCTCAGAGCGGCCTGGTCAGACGTCTCAAACTGAAAATACGGAACAAAAAGAGTGTTTTTCTCATTTTCCGCAGTTTTAACAGATGAAACTGTTCATTGAGCTCACGTTTGCCGTGAGTCATAATTTAAAGAATCACACACTGTCCAGGAGAGTATAGGTGCTCTGCTAGTCATTTAGAAGGCATGATTTCATGATATAATGCTTAAGGATTGTCGAATTAAATGTTTATGAAAGATCTGAGTAGGTTTCCTCGTTTCTCAGAGCTCCATGATGTGATTATTTGTATTAAATCTAGAATATATCAGTGTTGGTTTTTCAGGCAACAATAGCAAAGCAGATCAAAATGGCCAGATCTGACGTTGCTCAAATGTTGAGAAATATAAATATAAAACACATATTGTTTATTTGAAATGATTGAAAACCTATATACCTAAATCAGAGGATAGCAAATAGGATCTTTAATGTAAATGTGCATTGGACTTGGAATAAAAGCTGCAACGTGTACAAAAGAAAAGTGTTAATTTTACACAATATGCAAACAAGATGTAACTTTCTGGTTACATCAGTTGTACAACTAATAATGCTATAAGAAGAAATGAGCTAATATTTTTCTATTCTGTTTATTTGGAACTGTAGATTTTAGAGTAGAGTTGACTAATGTTTCAACTGAACAGTAATAATAATTTCAATAATAATTGAAAAGAAGCTGGGCTGTTTCTGTAATTTCTTCGTCTGTAAAAAGACAGAAAAGTTCCCACATGTATTGACTGTGACACACAATTTCTTACCTTTCAAAACTAATATAATGAAAAAGATCATTGGTAATTGAAGGCAGAATAAAATTCAACCCTGTCAGAGCATGAAAAATGCACTTTTAATAAATGTCTCAAACTACTTTATATGCAATCAAGAATGGGTAATGAGTGTAAGTGAGGTGTATCATGACTAATAACTTATGGAATTATATTTGTGCCACAAATATAATGCCACAACAACTCCTCATGTTACAGTGATGAATGACTTTTACCTCTGATTTTGGCTGCAGCTGTAAATTCGTCTCACTTTTGTCTCTCTCTCCTCTTGCATTGATGACCTTGTGGACATAGACCAAGCAGCGTCTCACCATGTTGTTATCAGGACGGTTGTCCAGAGCAAATCGCAGATCTGCATCAAGGGCTGAAGACAAACAGTTAAACTACACTTCAAGAAAGAAAAATAAATCCACAGACACAGACACACAGCGGATATTTCACCTGATCTGTAGTAGCCTTTGGCTTTCTCTGGGGTCATAAGGTCACTGTGGACACAAAGACTCACAGCTGTCTGAAACACCTTCCTCAGCTCTGCATCTTTAGCCTCTGTTTTGTTCTGCTCCTCCTCCTTAACCTCTGTCTGCTGAACAGGGAGGAAAAAAGACAAAAAAAAACATCACAATCCACTAGTGTAAGGACAATGTCTATCTTTGCAATTAATATTTAAAATATGGCATACACTCTAAGATAATTAGATATACATATAAAACTGTGATATTTCATGACAATCTGTTTGCTCTAAACAGATTCTGTAAAAAATAAAAAATAAATAAAAAAATAAAAAAATAAATTGCTTGGCACAACTGATAAATCATTTGTGACAATCACATGAAAAAATCCTGGGCAGAGCATATGCAAGGCAAGTATGGAAACAAATAAAACTGTAAGCAGTAAAATCTTTTGAGTATATAAAGTCAACATTTTTTTTCCAGTGTTGGTAACATCTGTGGGCCACTTGAAAAAGAAGCTGTACATGTTGATTCTATTTTGGGGTGTAAAATAAACCAGAGAAACTTGATATTTGTTTGATCTATTTTTTATGATTTATTGCATTGTAACTGTCTACAACAGCACACACAACATGTTTGAGCTCTTCCCACTCCTAGCCATGGTTGTGCTGTTTCCATAGAGCTGCAGGACTTTATATTGCAGTGAAACATGAGCCCACAGTGAGTATATTATGTGGCGGCAGCAAAAAAACACACCCAGCAACTGCTTTGGGTTCAGAGGACTAAACCTCTTCCTGCCCACTCAACATAAGGCTCTTAATTGGAATGAATAAATTCAAACGAAGCAGTGAAACTCAGAGAGGGAACAACTAAATGAGTGTAGTCACCGGAGAACAACAGGTGTATCTGCGTGGAGGTCGGAGGCAGTAGGAGGCAGGGACGCTGCTCTCGTCCCTCTGGTAAACCTTCTCCAGCTCCTGGGTGCTGACGCCCGCCTGCTGGCTCTCCTGCAGCAGCAGCTGGTACTCTGACACCTCCACCTGGGTGGCCAGGCTGGCTGGGCCATACTGGTGTCCTACCAGAGCCTGCAGCACCACCATGTGGACACAGCAGGGACAGCAGCAGGAGATGCATTGTTGAATACAGATCAGTACACATTTCTGTTTATGAATTTATGAACTCATAAAGGAACTTTTTTTTTTTTCAATTATAAGCAAAAGTTAGAAAAGACTGTGATGAATGTGTCTTTAATTTGCATGATTAAACTACTCTGCTGCTCAGCTTCAGTGGTTGTGCATAAAGGAGAGGCACCTCAAACAGGCCTGTGTTTTTAATAATCATACATTTGTGTTGAGGCTGTGTCAGAGCACTTTTTTTTTTTTACCAGTTTTACCTGTATTAGCAGCTGTTTCTGTTGCTTTGTTTTTCACACATCCTGTACCCCTAACTGTGGAATCTGCACTTAGAGATTGCAAGAAATGCTGCCTAATGAGTGAATTATAAAGCAGACTTGATGACAGATGGGATTTTTTTTTTTTTAAACAGGTAAGATAACAGTTTGGTGGCTGTGAACACAGACTCAGGTAAACGGATGTTGTTTAGAACCTGTGACTTTATAGATGATCTAAAGCAACCACAGGATGCCACAAAAAGTCCAAAAAGCGCTATTTTTAAAGCTTATAATACAAAAAGCATTTAGCTCCTGTATTCCTGTTGTGTGGTGCTGCTGTTAGTGCCTGTGACATGACTCTGTATTTATTATATATGTTTGAATTACCATTTTAACCTACTGTTGGTTGTTGTATTTTCTGTGGTACTGATGCAGGCTGGGGGAGGGATTTAGTGTGTGTGTGTGTGTGTGTGTGTGTGTGTGTGTGTACAGATGCATAGAGAAATGAAATCTTGAATCTTGACTACATTATTCCAGGGGATTTCATTTACTAGTAAAAAAGGTCCAGCAGAGTTTTCTCTGCATTCTTGTATCAGCTGCTGTCTGCTGCTTTCATCAGGCCAGTGCCTGGGATCACTGGACTCAAACGGATCGATCACCTGCAGACACACACACACATACACACACACAGCGTAAAAGGTTAAAAACAACGTAGGAGTGAGATGACTGAGAATCGAGGCGGGACAGCGACGTCCAGTAACAAGTGGCTCAGTGGTGGCTAAATAACGTATCATGTTCTTTCCTCTGTGTAAGCACACATGCGGATGAATAGAGATACGCAACACAATGTGCTGATTGAACTGTCCTGAGGTGATTTAATACACACACACACACACACACACACACACACACATGCATGAGAAAAAACCAACACACAATCCAGATAGTCGCATTACAGCTGTTCATGCTCTTTGTTGTCCGTTTTAATTAAGCAAAGTTGAGTAGAATTGACTGCACCTTCACAGGAACGGCCTCAGGGGGAAAGTGTGAAAGAATAAAGACACACACACAAACACGCGCACACACACGTGCACACATACACACCTGGAAGCAACCAAATACTATTGCTTTTGTATTCCACTGTTGGCAGTGAATATAACGTTACGCATGGGTGTATTCGAGATGGAGCCTGTGGGTTAATAAGGTTTTGCGCTGAAAACACTTGAAGTCAATTATTTTTTTTAGTCAACTGGCAGAAAATAAATTTGCTGGCAACAGCTATTCAGGATATTTAGTTCCCATACTCTAAATGCATTTTTGGATTTTGTGCTTCTGTGTTATTCCTTAAGACAAACCGATGCACAGGTCCTCATGTTAGAAGAATAACCATCAGAGACACACCACTGTGAACACAAACAACTTTATGCTCAGGAACTACTGCTTTATAATGAACCAACTAATGATGCCAACCATCAATAGTGAAAGCATTTATGCAATTCAAGTTGTTGTGTTCTTGCATACAAGCAACAGTGCCTGCATAATAAGGCCTCAGCCAGTGTGAAAAGGACAGAAAGGATGCCAAAATGTTCTTCCACTACAATATACCACACACACAGCACGACTAAAGTTTTTTCTATACAGATTGCATAATTTCAAAAAGTAAGCTACATACTCACCCTGACTTCCAGCCCCAGTGAGTGTCTGCAGTGCTCTCTGAATCTGGGGAACACATTCTCTCTCAGAGCTCTACGCTCCACCACACTGTCTGCACAGAACATAAACACAACCAGGATGCACCTCTGCACAGTAACTCAAAAAACACCACCAAGTCAGACATAAACTAACACACATATACATCTGAAGTATCAGCTTTTTGTTCATTTCCAAATTTTTAGCTGGTCCTTTAGTATCATGAGTCACTTACATACCCTCTGGGTTGGAGCATAAGTATATTTTCACACAGGACGAGCTGCAGCTGGGATGTGAAGCAGAGCGGTCGATTTGTTTTCCTCCAGAGTGCATGCCGGATCAACAGCTACTGCTAAAACACAAAAATATAAGTGTAGACAAGTTTTGTCAGGAACATATTCAGTGACCCAAACAGACAGATTTCAGCTGCTGCTGCTCCTCTGTGCTGCTGTTCCTCTTTTCCCTCCTGCTCCACTCAGGAAACTCTTGCCTCGGGTGTTTATAGAGTGTGTTATCATAATCACGCCCACATCTCGTCACTACAACATCTACACAGCACACACACACACACACGTCAATTACACAAACTCTCAAATGTGTATACAATGCTCAGGTTTGACACAAACATGCAAATACATACACGAAAAATTCACAGTGGCAGAGAAACAACTTTTCCATATTTTTTTATTAATTAACATTTGTACACAATAAATACAAACTTTATTTTTTGTACAGCCAATAATAATATGCAGAAAGACTTTTGCACCTGTTCTCATTATTGTCACCATGGCAACAGTCTGTGAAGAGAGAGAAGGCCAGTTTATCCACCACATCGTTTATAACAGCAGCTGTGCTGCTCCAAATCCGCGCATGAAAAATAAAGAATTATATAAAACATAAAAACCAAAAACAGGCTCATACCAATAAAAATTGAACACTGTAGCGGACCAAAGGGACTGTCAAAAAGGGAAAATAATCATGTTCAAAGAGGCAACTGGCAACAAAAAGCCATAAATGTTATATTTGATAAGACTGACTGATCGAGCATTTATGGTGGGAAGTTCTGCGGACGTTGCTCCAAACCATAAACTTCAAAACAAGTTTGAAAACTGTTATAAATAAGATCTCAGAGAGATCAAGGAGAGGCTGCTGTTCAAGTCAATGCTAAGTCCTCCAACAGCAGAAGAGCAGAGGTTCGTATCTGAAAGTGAAACTAATTCCAGCATGCTTCAATTTGTTAGGTGTTGATGCTACAAAAAAATGTTGTGGTTTCATTTCTCGCATCGCTTTTCTCAATCTGATATAATTCATCTCCACTTTGCAAAGAGGAAACCAATCAGTTTGAGCCCAGATAGAGACTTTGTTTCTCTTCTTGCATGAGGCCTAAAGCTGTGCCCCAACACCAAACTACATACTAATACAATACTGTGAGTTCTCTTCATACTCCAAACTGTTGTTGCAGTTAGAATACAATGAATGAATAGACTTTTGGCCAGCAAAACTCCAACTTTGGAGCATTACTGATAATATCTTTAACAAAGAGACAGCTTTTTCTATGTTTACTGTCACATTTCTGGAAAAACAATAAGTGTAAATTGTTTCGAGCTGTGAGCAGCTTCTCCATTGCATTCTGGGACATCAGAGTTCAACAACACCCCTCTAAAAAAAAAAAAACTAAGTGAATTCAGTACCCATACTGACAATCAGCAGTAAACTTAATGCTGTAATTTATTCAGTGCGAACACTCTTTGAACTCAAAACTTGGTAATATGTAATAAGGAACTGGGACACATCTTCAGAGACAAACACAGATCTGATCAAAATTCCTCCTCTCTCTTATAAACAATCACACTCACAAACAGCCAGGCCTATCCCGAGACCAGAAAACACATTCCCTCCATGTGTGCATTCAAAACATCCCTTCATGTAATTTTTGTTTAGTATTTTTTAAATATAAATCAACACCAAATGACACTGTCCACAATCATCTCTCCATCTCTTTGGAAGAGTAGAGTTTTTTTTTTCTTCTAAACAACAAAAAAAAAAGTATCAGTCACACTGAAACAAAGAGTGTCCATAGAATCAGAATGAAGAAGAACAACTCTGACTTCTGTATTTGTAACTACAATGATTCATCAGAGTCTTTTCTATTCATGCTGACGCTACGCAAAGGTACTGCTACTTTCCAGGGAAGGTACAAATAAATAAAAGTGCTACGCTGCCCTTTAGGCAAGGAGTTTTAAAGGCTTGAAGGGTATGTAAGGGGGGAGATTTATTTACTTTGAGTAAAAAAACACCACAGATTTGTACTTAGCTCCATCTGAATGTCAATGGCTAGTTCCGTCCATGATATATTTGCTTTATACACCTCTTCTGATTTCTGTTCCTACCATCGTTAATCAAAGTTGAAATGTAAGACACGATGAAAAGATAAGGAAAAAAGTTAAAGGTTCACTTGTTTTTATGAACGTTTTCTCTGCTGCATTACAAAGCTACGCTCACATAGCGATGTGACGGGGGAAGCTTGGCGGGACAAGAGAGAAAAATAATACCTGCGAATGTAATGCGTGTCAAGTAAACAAGGATATACGTCATAGCTGAACTGAACAATGTTATAAATGATGAAAATCAACGCGAGAGGAGATATGATCTGTAGGGAGAAATACTATACAGTTCATTCTGTGCTTCGGAAAAAAACTCCTGACTCCCTCAGATATTTTTCAGTGTCTATATCATCTCAAATAAAACTTTTCTTTGTCACCACATAGTGAATACCAACAATTTCGCCTTCTCCTGAACCAACCCGTGAGGCAAACACGCAGAATGAGAGAAGATATAGCAACGTGTGTGTAATATAATGCAACTGTATGTGTGTATATGATAGCCACTGATTCACACTGACTGCCAACGGACAGAACAGACATTAGAGAAAAGAGGGGGAGACGTAAAGGAGGGATGCGAGGACAGGTGAAGATAAGAGCAGAGGGGAGGATCCAGCCTCCTTTTGTCTCTCGTTGTCTTTCATCCTCTCCCACCTTCTCCCCTTTCATCTCCCCGTCCCACTGTATTTACAACGCCCTTTCAGTATAAGATGAAGATAAAACTTCCACTACATATCAGACATGGTTTTCCATTCAGCTGAGTTAGTCTATATGAAACGCTGTGCATAACATTCCTATGACAACAGTAATGTACTGTACTAATACACATTAAATACGTATGATGATAATGACTATATATGGCGAGGGAAGGGCTGGGGCCCAGTTTCTCTGTCCATTTGCTTGAGCCCCCACAACACTCCAAAACATGACAAACTTGGCAAGTTTTCTCTTTATTTCTTTCATCAAGCTTACTTTTGAGAGAGCACTGACACCCAGAAATGTAGTGAAAGGTATTAGACATGTACGTTTTTAGCAGCAGATTGAATTCATTTTGCTTTCCTTTTTAAACATTTAATCATTAACAATTTCTGATCCACCTTCCTTCACAATAGAGGACTGCGTTAGTTTCCAATTGGTGCAAAACTGGTGCAAAACATTGGTTTTAGCAGAGGGACATTCACCAGGGATGTCTGCAAAACCCAAAAGTTGAAATAAGAATGCCATCGGCTGTTTTGATTTATCTCAAGAATCCACTAAGGCTCTTTTAACTATCTACATGAAAACATATTCTGTCGATAAAAAAGATTATTTACTCATTTCTCAAGTTGTGCCTTCAAATTTTTAAAAAATGAGTTTTGCTCAAGTGTGTGTGGGCAATAGGGAATAGATAAAAAGAAGACTTAAATAAATAGCATTTTAATGTATTTTATCAGCTGATTCAAGGTCTAAATAAAATAAAAATATAGAACTTCATTGACATTAATGCATTTTCCCTGTTTTATTCATGTATTCCGTTATCTATTTGACTAATCTGACAACCCTGCCTACATTTCGTCAGTTATAGGGCTCCAAAATATTTTAAAAACTTCATAATTAGTAATTAGCAACTGAGTGAAACACGTGAAATGTAGCAGAGAGATAAACTGCGTTCCAATCTTAAAGTAAGTTTAACAAGACAAAAGAAAACTTGCCAAACCCATCATTAACTTTTCCTCACACTCCCCCTCTCTAAACATTCCTCCTCCTCTTCACTGCGCTCTGATTGCTGCCCACTGAGGTGAGGTTTTAAGGCAAGAATGGAAGGACAGGGGAGGGTGAAGAGGCATGTGGGGGCAGCTACTGCTGCACTTCATCAGGAAGCTAATACAGAGATTTTTTAATTGGATACTCTGGCGTTGTCCCCTCTGTCTGCTCTCCTCCTCAACTTGAGGACGAGAGAAGATGCGGAGCGGCCGGAGGGGGTCGACGTGGTTCAGTTCGGTTTGCTTCACATCACTTTGTTTACGCTCACTTCAGTTTAGAGCAGTTCGCTTCCTCAGCCTGTAGGATACGTCTGTCTTTCATCTGTTTTTCTTTTGTTGTGCGCCTGTAACCGGCCGTCAGCTTGTCTGCCTGTCACACCAGCGTGATCTCCACCTCCTCCGTCTTGTCGCTCTTCTCCTGCTGTCGGCGGGGGTGCTGTTTGGGTGGAGGTGGAGCAGCTCGCACCTGCAGTGGAGAAAATTTTTTAAAAACATTATGTAAGTTTAAGACAAGTGAGAAAAGCTTAATTCAAAGCAACAGTGGAGATGGCCTACTTTTCTTAATTTGACAAACAGCATAATGCTCGCTACCTGCAGTGTGACACAAACCTTTTATCATCAAAAAGTGCAGGCAAAAGGTAAGAAGCATTTATTCTCCACTTTTAGCGGCTGTTTTCAAATAAACACAGTACTTTGAACTCATCTTTGGGATCCACAGGTCATACAGTTAATGAACACTTATGCAACATCTTGGTTTCACAAAGAATCAGAGAGAAACAGAGTTTGTGTAAAATGTTGTACTGCTAATGTTGGTTATTTCTATTATTATATTGTAATAAACTGAATTTGAAATGCCTAAAACATTACACACAAAACACAGAATGTTTTTTTGAGTATGAAAGTATGTCATACTGTACATTTCACAAAGTACATTCAAAAGTCCAATATATCTACAGATCAAATATATTTACCTTGTTATCTCTGACAAAAGCTACCTTTCTAAAACTATGGCTCTGATTTCATAAAGGTTATAATAATTTTCCTTTGTGCATAAAATGATGATTGTTGAATACATGTCACTATAGATTTACCATCAAAGGAAACATTAACATAGTACATACAAAATGACTTTGAATAACTTTGATACTGACAGGTCGTAGCTTGCCCGGGCCTCCTTCAGGAGTGAATCGCAGTGGTTGAGTCTGAGCAAATCCTGGAGATACTGGACTCCTGCCAGAGCTTTGATCTGCAGAACGAGAGACAAAGTTTCAAATAAAAAAAGCCCCAATGATCTTTTGTGGCTGATTAAAGTTGTTGTTTGTGTCCGTGCGCCTTACTGTGGGTGGACAGCGGCCCTTTGTGTGACGAGGCGGGTATTGGAGGCTTATGCTCCCCGTTAAGTGCAGCAGAGGGCGAGCGAGGCAGAGGAGGTGGGGTGGAGGTCTCAGGGCTGGTGAAAGGGCTGATGGGAGGTTGGTCATACAACGGGAGAGGTGGGAGAGAAGATGGCAGCTTCAACGATGGAGAGATCTACAGAAAGGGAAAGAAACCGGAAAAAAAAAAAAAAAAATCCATCATATTCTGCTCATCTTTGACTTTTAAACTTCTTGGAACAAGTCCCATCTACTTTACACAGCATCAAATATTGTAAAAAAAAAAAATTGATGACAGTATAAAATTCACCACTGTCATTGAATTAAGTCAAGGCTGAACAATTTGGACCATAAAATGCACACATCCACAATAAATGCATCTCTGCCTTTTATATAGAGTAAAAAGCTTTTGTCGGTAATGAAACTGACCATCCAATAACTGAACTCATCTTGACCTGAGAAAGTGAAGAAAGAGAGGCAGGTTGTGGAAGAACCTTGAACTTTAAAGGGAAGAAATAAAGTTAGAGGTCAATATGTCCTCTGAATATGAATCTTGGCCTGATGGACACTAAAGGGATCATCCTCTCATCTCTGTATCAGTGGGCTATGCCAAGCTCCATAAAATTTATCCGACTGGTTGAAAGCAATTCTCTTTTTCAGACATGGGATATGAAGCACTGCTGGTTTCATACTTTTTTTCTTTTTTTTTTTGATTAGAATCCTTTTTTTCCTTTTTCTCTGTGCCTACATGTGCACAACTCTCAATGGATCCTGCTGCTGTCCAATGCTGCAGTTATTTACTAAACTCCTAAAAACAGCTGGAAGCAACAAACTTAACTTTAGCTGCTGTAAACATTTAATCAAAACCCAGATTACAATCATCATTGGTGGATTTCATTAATCTAACCTGTTGACTGTCTTCATCTCAGTTGTACTTTTATCCATGAATGTAATGGCATGCAGTTACGACATATGCCATGTTAACAATGATACAGAAATGTAAAGCCTAGTAATTCCATTATGACTTTTGTGCGAAAGTGGCTGGGTTGTTTCAAAAGATATGGAGCTGACACGTTCAGATACCACTAGATTAATGGAAAGACATGCATGTCTGAAAGCAGCTATAGAAAAAGAAAAAGGAAGAACTCAAACAAAATAAAAGAAGGAAAAGCTACATAAACAACATGTACGCAGGCATATAAATGTAAGAGGAAAAACAGTATGGAGCTAACTGGTTGATATTACCAGTGCATTAACTGCATTAATTTATCTTTGTTTGGCACATATCCATCCATCATACTCTCACCTACTTGCTGTCTGTCAGCTACTTGTTGATGTGTAGGGTATTGTAGGGTTTTCAAGCCTTTTTAATGAAAACATCTTTCTCCTACTGCTGGAAAAAACACTGACAACATTTGGAAGACTAATCCAAAACTGCTAAATTATAAAATGACAAAAAGTCAGTGATTTTTACTTTCAGGATCAGATTATAGAAATACCACTGGTTTACTACACACAACTTTTCTGTTTGCATATCATCAGCCAGGATAATAATGCATATTTTTTTCAGTCAATCTTCAGACACCCTCTCCTCAAACTGACATTAAATCTTTCTCTATACAGCGATTCAAACATTTAAATACATAACATTTAAATGTTGCTAAAAGTTGCCGTGTTGCGTGTTATGTCTGCAGGCTTCTAGGAAGGGAGAGGCTGTATCCTTCCTGTTACTGAACCACTAATAGGGCAGCATTCAGTGGCACAGATAAGAACTTCTTCTCTGATTGCGGTGCCGGGTTTTTATCAGAGCGCTGCAGGAACACAGCAGTTCTGATCCACTGTTTGTGAACTCTGCCCTGCTGATAGATCAACTGGACAACAGGCAGGAAAGGGAGGGAAGTAGGGGTATAAAGTGGCACAGTAGACTACACTCAATCCGTGGTATTTCTGCCCTGAGGAAAGGCTGATAAGACCAAATATCCAGCTCAGACACTAAATGTCTGTGTGTTACCTAAGTGGGGGCATGTCTCTATTTTAAATCTGCTTTTTCAGTTATCCCACTCTGTTTTTGCCACATAAAATCACCTCAATATTTGTTCCTTGTGTTATCTGTGAGATTTATTCCTGTGTGTTCAGGTGTTACTGTACCTGTGTGTCACCCGTCCCTCCTCCGCTGGGCTCCCCATTCTCAGTGAGATCTTCTACGAGCACAGAGGGGAAAACGCCCACCCGCCCGTTCAGTTCACCCTCCCAGAAGCCATCGTCCGTCTGAGTGTCGCGGCTCAACAGGCGGATCACAGCTCCCTCGGAGAAGGACAGTTCCTCATCTGCCTGGCCCTCATAATCATAAAGTGCGCGGACGTACACCACTGCAGAGAGAAAGGATGATAAAGATGGAGAGAGAAAGCAATTAGAGTCACACTGAAGGAACAATTATTCTGAAGAAAAAGGCAGCTCCTTGCCTGCTTGGTCCTCATTGTCATAGAAAAAAATGGTACACAAAGCTGAAGAGAGGGAGATACAGAGAAGACAGAAAGCTGTAACTGTAATGATAATTAGGTGAGAGGATTTATTCAGGAGCTGTGTCCAAGTGTTCAGGTAGAGTAGACACTGAAAGCAAGAGTAGGAGGAGACGGAAAAAATGGTATGGTTAGAAATAAGGCCAATAAGGACAGAAGGACAAACATAAAAAATGACAGAACAGATAACAATCTGGTTACTTCCCCTTATTGTTTTTCCTGCAGTGAAAATGTACAAGCTAGGTTAAAAACCATTAATATATGTTATTCATTATCTAACTTAATAAGTTAGATGTTATTTTCACTGTCGACCAGAGGTGTGGTTCAGCAAGCCTTGCCAACATTTCTCTGAGCAAAAGTATCTCCAGCCTTTTTTAGAGGCTGTTGTGAATTTCAGCTCCAAGCTTGTGTCCGGCAATTTAATTTACTTTTAAATTAAGTTGTGAGCTTGATGACTTCTTTCACTGCCGGCTGCTTTTAGACTTTCAACGCCCAAAGTGTGTGTTTGGACAGGGTTGTAAAAATAAGAGACAGACCATAAGTGTTGCCCATTTCATTAAATTGAAAGGCAATTTTAACCACTCTCTTCTCTTTGCTCAGTTCTCTCCACTCACTTTGAACTAGTTTCTGTTCCAGTGAGCCACTGGAACGACAGCAACAACATTTCTAATTGCTAAATAGAAATGGATAAAAGAGGAACCAGCAGAGACCAAACTTATGAAAGTTGACCAAAGGTAGGATGTCTTATTAAACTCTGCTTTTATTGAATCGTGGCTCGTATTTTTCTTCCATTTTTTGGGATTTACTGGGTAATTTCACAATGATTTACCCAGCATGGTTCAGTGGACGTCCTCCACATTTGCTCTTTCCAGTAACACCCTGCTTAGCAAAATCAGTGTTTCCTATAGCTGGACTTCATTGGAGCAGTAAAGAGAAAAATGCCTCAGTCCATAATAACCTCATTACGAGGGAACAACATTTACACTGATGCAAGTGGAACTAACTTCATTTGCTGAAACTCCTGGCATTTAGCGTAATTACTACAAAGAATAATTCGCCGTTACTGGGTTTACAGAATACTTACTATTTGTGTCTCCATTGATGCAGCCAGAGTGCAGCTCTGGCTCCGTTGAATTGGACGAGGTGTGTGATCGGGCGTCAAGCGTAGCCAGAGACTGGAGCATGCTCAGAAGACTGTTGGAGGTTGGGAACTGCAGGTATTTCTCCGGGACGTAGCCCACTTGACCGGTCTTATTGCGTGCCTGGGAGGAAAATGAACAGCGAAGATGCCGCACAAACACGTGTGGGCAGACGGACAGAGCTAGTGAGATAATACCTGTTGCAAAAACAAATGTGATACGCATCTATGTGATGGATGTGTGTTTAAGCACCTTGACCCAGTCCTCCATGTCTCCATCCTCAATGACCTCCAACATCTCCTGTTCATCAATAGTTAACTCGTCCGGCTGAGAGGCCTGCGGGAGAGGCCCACCAAGGGGTAAAGACAGAAAGAGAAAGAAAATGAGGATGAGAAAAAGAAAGAGAATAATCATACTTCACAGCAGAGACTTTTTTGTAAAAAATTCATTTGAAATTGCTAAAGATTTCATGGCCGCTAATTGCAAATTCTTCGGTATTTCTCGGTTTATACAAATACGACTCTAATATTCAAATGTTGTTGTCTCATTGCGCACATGAATATGCATCATACTGTGTTGTGGGAGCTCCCTTCCTGGCAGCAGATCGTTGGTATGTGTGTAGGTAAGCGTGCAACCATGAAACTGCAGAGAGTGATTGCTGCTTTATACCTTGTATGAGTACAGGACTTTGCAGGTTAGCGGGTAGTTGCGGAGGGTTCCCGAAGGACTGGAGCTGCTGTCATCGAAAACCTCCATATTCTCTTCACACTCTTCACCTTCCTCACGCTCCAAGTCCACTGTGCCCTTTAACACACAAACAGAGCCACATCCAGATAAAGTCAAAACCCCTGATAAGTACAAGGACAAAGACTAAAAGCCCCACTCACTGTGAAAGCTCCAGAGTAAAAAAAAACAAAAAAACACCAGACATGTACACAAACAAGTGTTCAGATAAAAAAAGGAAAAAAAAGGGCTCACAAATGCTTAGATCTTGGAAGTTTTACTCCACATTTAAATTAAATTTCAAAAAATGTAGTTCAATTACACAAACGTCTGGTTCGTGGTCCTACAGTGAAGCTCAGCTAGTGACATGTTATTTCGTTTGCTCATCTCTGATTTCATCTGGTGTCTACAGCTCCCTCTCTCTTAACCTTGTTGTTCCCCACCTCTGCCCTTGACACTCATGCTGTGTTGCTGTCCAAGCTTCCACTCCCGCTGCCTCCCATGCATTTGATAACTACTTGCAAGGACTGTCCATTTAAACTGTTATCCTTTCCTCCTCTGTGCTCACCTCACAAACTAATCTACATTGACGATTCCTTACCTTTTCTTCCTGTCTAAGCTCCTCTGTCCTGCTCAGTGTGTGTACTGTAGCTTTTAGAGACAGGTGTAGACGGACTAATGTTTCGCATGATCCAGCCCCTCCCTCTTTTGTTCCATGTGAATTTTACTGGCTTATATGAATGTCATGTGATACAGCTGGTAGAAAGATCCATCACACACAGCGAGCTGACCTGGCCAGGAACAATAAAGAGAGTGTGTGTGCATGTGTGAGAGTGTTTGTGTATTCCCAGGTCATTGTGTTTAGTCATCAGATTTCTGTTGACACAGTAAACTCAACACCAGTGCAGAACAAAACAGACTCCCAAACTCCCAAGTTAGCCTCTTGGACAGAAGAATCTATTCTCTAGGGAAAAACACACCTTCAGGTGTGGTCTAATGACATTCTGTAGCAAAAAAAAGAACACACTCTTAATAAACTTTGAACAGGTTAAGAATAAAACCTTATCTTAAATGCAAAGACTGCCTGACTGTATGTTTGCTTTTCTTTTCTAAATAAAGCTAACATAAAATCTAACATAATGCTGCACTTACACACAGCTCTGCCTTGAGTAAACACTGATTTCAGCATGCTAACATGCTAAATTTGACACTACTTCACAAGTATAATATTCGCCATCGTCACTACTAGAGATTAGCATATTTGCATCTATAGCTAATTAGCATGCAAACTGTAGATACACATAAAATAAAGCTGAGGATGGTGGGACTGCCTATTTTTACAAATATTTGCGCCTTACTGGAGTTGATAAAATGTTTGTCCTGATGATGGCACAAGTGGAAAAGTCAAGAGATCGCTACAATTAAAGTATAATTCATCCTGCAGGTTACATGGACATGGATGCAAAAATTCATGGCAATTCATTCAGTAGGTTGGAAGAATTTAAAAAAAAAAAACAAGTCAAGGTATCACCAGGGTCACCGGTACAAAATTTTGTGACCCACTCAAAAGTTTCTCAGACATTTCACTCTAAATGAACGTAATATGCAATGTGTAAGTTACAGAATTTGTACACTCCAATAAGCAGAGTAACTATTGTGGGCTGCCAATGACTTATAATGCCACATGGCTTAGTGTTAATTAATTCCCCCTAGATATATCTACAAATCCTTTTGCAGTACTACCTGTGCAGTGACTATATTGTAAAGAGAGAGTGATTTCAGATGCAGTCGAGGATGGCGTGACAGAGGTGGATTTAATACGATGGAGAACAACTTGATGTCCAGGTCCATATTTTAAGGCTTGATGGCAAGGCCCGAATTTGGTGACTGCATGTTTCTTGTGTGACGTCACCCTTATCCACTTTACTGCATTGATTTAAGAGTAGGCAGCTCAGCCCGAGGACCGATTTCATTCCATCCCTGAAGTAAAATGACCAGCGTATATTTCAGTAATAACCCAATAAAACATCACCAAATATACATCTCAGAGTGTGTACCAATACAGCCGAGATGCAGACCAATGGCAGATTTTATTGGTCCAGGAGGTAATAACTGTAAAAGTGATATTGTAATGAGGCAGCGGCTGCCTGAGAGACTCGAGAGTTTGTGGCTTCCAGTATTTCATACTCGTATTAATAAAATTGAGTGGAATGAAGAAAGGGCCAAGGGAAGTGCCCGCTCGCTGCTCTCGTTGTTTGTCTGTGCCTTCCTCTGCTGATTATCATGCACAATCCATTCATCCCTTCTTCTTTCTATTGCTGTCGGTCACCTCTTGACCTCTCCCTAATCAGCAAACTGCTGCTAAGCAATCCCTCCTACAGTTCTCCTCCGTCTCTCTGTGTGTTTCTCTCTCCTTATCTGCTTTGTTGCACCTTGTTAATAACAATAATCCTTCTTTTCGGGCTGCTGTCAGTCTCCACTACACTCTAAATAAAATCAAAGGGCTGACGAACTGCTGTCACATGCCTGAATACTCAATGTGCCTCCTGGTCTGTTCTTCTTCATGACACCCAGATGGAGTTTTCAGCAAGTGTCTCTAACTGATTCATCTTATAAATAGGGCAAGAAAAGTTTAGAAAGATTAAAAATTTACGCCATTACCGACTACTGGCAGGTAAAAAAAAAAAGCCTTTCGATGTGTCAACATTAGAGAGGCTTGGCTTGGGAAAGGCAGCACTTTGTTTTGGTCACCATTTTGTCTGTGCAAACATGCCAGATCGAATATTTTTTACAGTACTCTGTGGGCTTACAGTATGTTCTCTGCTGTTTTTCACAATTCCCCAAGTCTCTCTCACCTCTGCATCCAATTTTACTTTAGCATTATCACTCTGACGTTACTCTCCCCTCCACATCACACCACCTCTTCTTTTTCTCAGCTAATTCTCTCCTTCTTCGCTAAGTGTGTCTCTCTACTCGCTCCTTCTTTCACGGCACGGCTCTCTCTTTCATCCCCTTTCCAGTTATCTCTCCCTACATTTGTCCCTCTCTCGCCATATTTTCTCTCTCTTTCTCACACTCACTTTCCCTCTCCCTCTCTCTGGTGTTAGCTGCGAGCTGCAACATCATGTGCACAGAATGTCAAGTGCTTCCAGTGGAGCAGACTGACTATGTTTAGTCCTGTTGACAGACGCACACACATGTCTCCTCACTAAGTCCTTTGTGGGATTAATCTCCTATTCATGGACATGGACTTCGCTCCCTGTACACCTAATGTAAACACACATTCAAATGTACATAAATATCAAGAACTCAAGCGCACATCCACACACACACGTGAGATAACAACACACAAAACTGCATTATAGACACAATTTGACATGTGAGTTTTATAAAATCTAATTTGAAGAAAAATGTCAGCATTTTCCAGACAAAATATACCCCGACTCCTCATTTCAGTATGTAGGGACACTGTGCTAGTACCAGTTTGGACCCGCTTTTGCCATCAGAACTGCCTAAATTCTTTGTGGCATAGATTCAACAAGCTGCTGGAAACATTTCTCAGAGATTTCGTTCCTTATCGTTAACAGCATCACACAGTTGCTGCAGATATGTGGGCAGCACCTCCATGACGTGAGTCTCCACCACATCCCTAACATGCTCTGTAGAGGGCATTTGAGTGCAGTGAACACACTGTCATGTCCGCCAAACCAGTCTGAGATGATATGAACTTTGTGTCATGGTGCATTATCCAGCAGAGAGTAGCCATTAGGGGAAGGGGACACTGTGGTCATAAAGGAATAAGCACGGTCAGCAATAACACTCAGATAGGCTGTGGTGTTAAAAATGATGCTCGAGTATGCCAAGAAAATATCACCCACACCATTACACCACCAGCAGCCTGAATCGTTGATATGAGGCAGGACAGATTCGATCTTTGATGTTGTTTACGCCAAATTCTAACCCTCCCATCTGAATGTTGCTGCAGAAATCCGCACTCGTCAGACCAGGCAGGGTGCTTCCAGCCTTTTACTGTGCAATTTTGGAGAGTCAGTGCTGACTGCATCGTCAGTTTCCTGTTCTAAGCTGACAGGAGCGGCAACTGGTGTGGCCTTCTGCTGCTGTAGCCCATCTGCTTCAAGCTGAACCTGCTGTGTGTTTAGAAATGCTCTTCTGCATACCTTGGTTGCAACGGGTGGTTATTTGCTGTAAGTGTTGTTAGTGTGAGCTCATAGAAAGCTGAGCTCAAACCAGCCTCTTCTCTGACCTCTGCCATCAACAACACCTTTTCGCCCTGCAAACCATCACTCACTGGGTGTTTTTTTTAAGGATCATCCTCCTTAAACCCTGGTGTTGATTACGGGTTAAAATCCCAGTAGCATAAGCAGCATAGCAGCATATCTGGCACCAACAACAATGTAGAAGTCACTTGAATTACCTCTCTTCCCCATTGCTGATGCTTCATTTGAACACCAGCAGAACCTGTGGACTGTGTCTACAGGCCTAAATGCATTGAGTGTCTGCCATTTGATTGGCTGATTGGATATTTGATTTACTAAGCAGCTGAACAAGTGTAACTAATGATGTAGCCGGGCATTGTACGTGTAAATTATCTGCTTCAGAATCTACGAAGGCAAAAACATTTATGACTCTCAAATCTGCACAGTAAAGAGACGAGAGTGGTATCAATCTTGTCATTTATCTCTCAGCAAGAAAGCAAAGAGGCGTGTCCCAAAACATCAAACTTATTTATGGTGGAATGCTGTATAGCGCAGGAAAAATGAGAATCTACTACCACCATTAAGGAAGGAAGTGAGAGTGTGATGCTACCTGGTGTGCACCTCCTCACTCTTGACATGCACACAATATGGACACACACTCATGAACATGATGAGGCAATAAAAAGGCTTCAGATTTGCACTCAGTGCATTGTGCCATTAAAGTTAAGGGTCATGAAATAAAAACTGCAAGTTGTGCGGGGACTGCATCAGTATTCTGCTGGGGGAAGTGGGGCGTTTTAAGAGGCTGTAACGGGCGTGATAGATGATTAGGCAGCAGGGCCGAGGTCAATTATCTCGCAATTTACATCATTCAGGAAGCGATTTGTCAGGAGAACTATTCTAGCGGGGTGGTTTTCACTTATAAAGGAATCACAAGGAATGTAAAGTCTATGATTATGACTCAGTGTGTTAAGACTTTAAAATTCTGAATGTGCTATACTATGTGCACTGTTTTCTGTAGTGCAAGAAGAAAACCTGCAGGAGGACAGAACATATAGCAGTTTATCTGATCACTTTAAGTGGTTTAAACAGGCTACTGTGCATGCATCAGGAACAGCTATGACTTATATTGTGTCGTGAAAAGATAGTTTTCTATTCATCCTGTAGGTGTGACGTGTACTTTCCAGCCAAGTCAGAAACTCGATTTACTGTACGCATTAGCCTTAATCAACAGATTTGCAGGAATTGGTAGGAACATTAGGGTCTATATAAAGTACATTTTTTCACAGGTTCAGTAATTCCTTCTATAATTTTTCACATTTTATTAATAAACTTTCTATTTCTGTGAAAACAGGTTTAATTTTACAAGCTTGGCTAGAAAGCTGCAACGTAGACACAGTGAGGGGAAGTGTCTCACCGACAGTGAGGGATCGTGGGAAGTGTAGCTGGCCCAACGTTCATTCTCCAGCTCCTCCATCACCTACAGCATGCACAAAGAGAGTGGCGGGTTTATACACATAACGCAATCAGGCTCACACACACACACACACACACACACGCACACACGCACACACGCACACACGCACACACACACTGGAGTATACAAACTAGAATTCATGCACGAAAGGATATGGACTTGCACGGGTAACAAGCACTGCTTCTGCAAAAAACAAGTCAGGCAGAGAGAAACAGGCATACACAGACACACATACATATGGACATGCGTTTTTTCAATCACTTTTGACAAGACACACCTGGTTCATGGCGCTCTTCAGCCAGGTATCCACAGCAACCCCCACTTGCCGCAGAAGGTCCAACCGAGCCTCAGCTTTCAACTTTATTGTCTTTGAAGAGAAAAGGGGTTGAGAATGTTAAAAACACATATCACTGGCCTACACACATTTTCTCCTATCAGTCTTAAAAAGACCATTAGTTTTATCCCACCCACATTATTTTCTAGTAAAGGAAAAAAAACATCTCTATACAAAACAAAAAATATTTTTGCGCCACAGCGCAAAAAAAATAAAAACACACAAAAAAAAAATAAAAAGAGATAAGAAAAAACATCAAAACACACAAAAAGCCCAGATAGGATCCATCTCTCATGTACAATGGGTTTATATCCAAGGGGCTTTCGAAATGATGTAGGAAAATGAAATTTAAGTGAACCTGTATATCAGAGCAAACATAAGCAACTGTGTCTGATCAAGAGACACCATTCATTGACAGATTAGCTGAATTTACACCCTCAAATGTGTTAAATCTGTACCACACAGTCTCCTAAGCAACAAATCATCAAATCTTGCTGTGCTTTGTTATAACGAGCTGTGAACACTGCAATGTGCTGTGTTCTTTCCTAATGAGACAATATGATGAGGCTTTAACTGCCAGTAGGGAAACCCCTGAGATTTACATTCAGTCTGTCTCGCCTCCTCAACTCCCTCTTTCATCTCTGATCCTTTCCCTTTTTTCTTGCTGTCTCTCACAGTTTTCATCAATTTCCTCTTTCATTACCTGCCTCTTTCCTTTCTCACCAATGCTGACAGAGCAGATTGATAGTTGATAGCTCCATCCCACAGAGGCGTAGAGTCAGACAGAGAGACACACTGTCAAGACAGACTCCTTGACTTTGATCAATAAAGATTTGAGTGTCTCCATTTCTTGTTTTCTTGTTTTGTTTTTTTTTACTTTCTTTTCGTTATCAGGCACCCATGAAATACTAAAGGGAAACACCAACACTGGCTGTTGCTGTTGAACCATACACATATCAGTCTAAAAGAGAGAAAAAGTTACAATATTGGGTGTTATACCGTCAGCAGTTGGTCCCTAAAGGAATTTGCAGCAGTACATCATTAGTTTGAGTCAATAGAATAAGCAGCCAGTGGTGTGAGAACAGATCGCTGGTAGGTAGACAGCACAACCTCCAGCAGACAGTTCGGCTGAGCAACGATAATCAATACAACTCAAACCGACAAAAAGGATGACAGGAAAATAGACGGAGGGATAGACATGCAGGGAGATACTGCAGAAAACAAATTCAGCTATCTGTCTGTATTCTGAATTATGGAAACACCTTTGGTAAAGAAACACTTAAGGATGCAAGTTTAAAATATTTAGATTTTAAGTTCTCTGTAAAGTGCTGCAACCAGGTGATGACAACACATTTGTTAACAAAATGCCATGACATTCTGTATGTGAGCTTCATCTGAAAACAACAAACTCTACAAGAGGTTATGTACTATATGTGAGGTATTGCAATGTGAATATAAGGAAGCAAAGTGGGATTACACTGGACAATTACTACCAATATGTACAGTGACTTTTCACAATTCAGTTTTATTTTTGTTTTCAAAAAATATAGAGCCAAATGAAAAGAAGCACCATGAACTGCTCAGTCGACAGTTTTTATGAACACAATTTGTTTTAGTACCAAAACAAATTAGTTCCAAGTGAACACATTCTCATGATTGTTTCCATATCCTATTCTCCAAAGGTATTACCATGTCAATGCAGGTAAAATGTGCATAGATTATGAGATACTTCCAATCAATTTTCCAATCCTTATTAGTTTTGTTTGCTTGTGCTGAAATGCATCTGAGAGCAGGACCCATTCCCTGTGTCGATGTCACATGTAAATGAGGCAAGATCGTTAGCAAGGACACAGCCTCTTGTCTCGACTATTCTTACTCTTGCATTGTTTAAGGGCTTCTTGGAAAGAGGAAAACAGCAAAGAAGCCCAGAATGATTTAATATCAAACTGTAGAATTGTATTTGACTGTTACTTGTTATTTCTTTTGTGCCTTTATTATGCCGACAGCTAAAGAGAGACAGACAAGAGGGGAGACGGAGAGAGCAATGTAAATGTATTTTTGTCATGCCAATAAAGCTTTTTTGAATTGAAATTGGACTGAGAGCATGACATCCAGCAAAACTTCCAGGCTAAAACTTAAACAAGGCCACTGCAATAGGGACTCAGCCTTGTGGGCACATGCTACCAGGTGAGCTACTCCAGAATTTTATCTTTATATGAAATTATATTATGACAGAGGAAGGAACCATACATATGGAAGATACTCCATCCATCCATCCATCCATCCATTATCTATACACCGCTTAATCCTCACTAGGGTCACTGGAGCCTATCCCAGCTGACTTAGGACAAAGGCAGGGGATACCCTGGACAAGTCGCCAGTCTATCGCAGGGCTACACTCAGAGACAGACAACCAAGCGCACTCACATTCACACCTACGGACAATTTAGAATCACCAGTTAACCTCAACATGTTTTTGGACTGTGGGAGGAAGCTGGAGAACCCGGAGAGAACCCCCGCTGCACGGGGAGAACATGCAAACTCCTTGCAGAAAGATCTCAGGTGTCCTTACCGGGACGCGAACCGGCGACCTTCTTGGTGCGAGGCAACGGTGCTAACCACCGCCCCACCTTGCATCTCTATATGGAAGATACTGTAGCTACAATATCGGAAAATGTCTTCCATGAGGTACATTTGAATTGGATTAATTTCAAGTAATTCTGAATGATTCCTAACTTTCATTCACTTTCTATATATCTGTGTATATAAATAGATGTCGACAGGATATGCAGTTTAGTGTGTAACTATCTCTAAGACTTCATAAAGAAAGAATAAAGCTTCTTTTGGTGTCACAGATTTTTTTTTTTTTTTTTTTTTTTATATCTCAAGAAGATAGGAATAGTTTACCATTCATCTTAATGCTATATTTTGTCTTGATTTCTGATCTTGGAAGCTTGTTGTTTTATTAATAGGCTCCAGTAGAGTACTAAGGGAAGCCTGGGGCAGAGTGTCCTAATATATAATTTATATAAGAATATAAAACACATTTAATTTTATGTTATTAGAATTATCACTTGTCTTTTATCATAGCGTGAATTACTTGCATCACTTAATCACACTGTGAAATTTTGTAACAGCAATAACTGTTTCAAAGGAAGACACGGCTTCGTGTTTTAGAGTCTTTTGTCAAACACTCAAGCTGAGTCCATAAAATCCGACCAGCACCTGTAGAATACAGAATACATAACTCTACGCTTTCTTTCACTATTTATAATTCCATTTGAATTCAGAAAAGAGAATTTTTCTAAAGCATGAGGTGTTTTGAAAGTTCTACTGAACCCTAAAAAATAGATTGGTGGCTATAAAACCTTTACACAGACTGATTTCTTTCAAGCCTCCTTCTCTTCTTCTTTTAAATTGTTTTACTTCATCTGAGTCTTGTGTGAAGATGGTTGAAAAAAATTCCACTTTACTCTTCCCCCTAATAATACATACACTCATTGATTCAAACCACTAATGTGTGCATGTTTGTCCATAAGGGCAACACACTCCACGGCTTTTCAACACATTCTTAAAATAAATCTTTAAGCTGCTGAAATTTGCATACGATTCAATGTCCTGACATTTATGGTACATGCATTATATTTTCTGTAAAGTATCTTCTAGAATAAATAAAACATGCATCTCAAATAAACTTAATAAACTTCCAACTTGTACCTTTCTCACAGGTTTGCCCACAGTTTGACATGCAGGAAAATGTGGTCACATTTTTAGCACTGCATCGATTTTAAACATTGATTTTTAAACTCAATTGTCCGTCACAGCATATTAAGATGTTGCCATAAGCAAACTAAGCAATTTATGAAAAATCTGCAAACAGGTAGCGAGCCACACTATGCTGTCAGTCTTTCTTACTGGCTGATCGTAGACTTCTTTGCTTAAGCTGGCATTTTAGATATTCTCCCTCTGGTGATGCCAAGTATTATCATCAGATTATTGTACAGCCAAATAGAAACACCTCAAAAATATCTTTTAATCCACAAACTGACATTCATTGTATATAGAATGTCTTCCTCACTACTAATTCTTCATCCTGAATATAAGCCTTGCTGAAACAGCTGCTGGAAAAGACTTGATGGGATGAAGATGGGAATTCATGTAACAGAAAAGATGGAGCTATCACTATCCAGATAACGCTGTAATCAAACCTACATAATGCCTTTTGTCCTGCTTCTGCTCCCTTTATAATTCTGTGATAAGAGCTCTGCGATGAAGCCATTTGTATCAAATGAGCTCATAAAATATTCATCATCTTAGTCAAGGTAATGCTGGCCTAGAAGAGAAAAGAATAGCAGACAGACAGTGTGAGCAAGAGAGACCGAAACAGAGGAAGAAAGAGGGTGTGGTAGGAAGATGGTTTCCACTTCGCAATGAAAAGCCGCCCAAATTATTGTGTCTGAAGTGAGAACACAAGTTACTGATAGTTGCTAAATTACACTTATTGTTTATAGTAGAATGAAATAGTGATCAAACCTTTGAGCAAACCTGACAGCAGAGGGTGCCAAATGTCCCTGATAAGAAAGGTAGTGTGAGGGCAGAGTTAGGTAGAGAATGAGCGAAGCACAGTGAGGCTGAAAAAATGAAAAAACACAAATATAGAGACTTTTGAGAGGGAGCAGAGACAGAATCGAGTTGAGGAGGAGAGGAGTGGATGATGCAGTGGTCTCATTCAGTGTGTGGCGGGTTGAATCTGTGAGGATCAAAACATAAATGATAGATATCTCTGCAAGAGGAAAGGCTGAAGGGTGTAGAAGGGAAGGAGGGAGAGTGAAGACAAGATGAGAAAGAGAAAGGAGAGGTGAAAAAAAAAACTTGGTAGAGGTGTGATAGTTTAAAATCTAAATTATTGGATCTAATGTCTAAATTGAAAATGTTACAAAAATATTATGGACCAGATCCCTTATAGCTGTATTGCTGTTGCACCTGTATCCTGTCACAGTGAGGTATTAGGAGAAACGTAATTCTGCAATGCTGTGGTCAAACCTCTCCAACTGAGTACAGGGTTGTGCAGGGGTTATTGAGCCTTGTGGATATTGATTTTTGTGAATAACTTATGGGATTTGTCATCTCTTGCGATGTGAAAGGTTTACTGGTGCGTGTTTGTTAAGTGTACCCCGCTACATGAGCCGTGCTGATGAGCGAACTAGGAGCCAACTGCCACTGTTTGCACTCAAATATTCAAACTGATTAGTCACACAGACCAAAGACTGGGCAGCAGGTAGCGGTATCATTTCAACAGAGGGGCTATTTGCAAGGCTAATGCTGTATTGATGTTACAGCAGCAGAGTGAGTTTACAAAGATATGCAATATTTAGTATTTCTGCATCAATGTGTGCTACTGATTTTACAGTGTATGTTTTAGAGGAGAAATCAATAGCCGATCACTGCGAAGACACAGTGAAACAATTGACAGCAGACTTTTCCAAACCGGTCAATAATGCAAAGAAAAAAAAACACTGTTTTACAGCTTTTGGGTTATAGCTTTGATATCATATCATATCATCATCAAACTACAAATCTACTGAATGAATGTTGGAGAGGAATCATCTGTCCATCTGTTCTCTATATCCTTGTATCCTGTGCATGGTAGCAGAGACTGGAGCCTTGCCTAGACAGGCTAGATCCTGGAGAGGAAGAGCTGACACACTATATTCACACACGTTTTAGTGTTTTCAGTTCACCTGACCTTGCATGTCTTCAGATTGTGAGAAGAAAACAAAGGCGCCAGAGGAAACCCACATGAAACTTCACACACCAAGGGCTTCAGTTTAAACACAGACGATGAGACAACAGGAAAATATTGACAATCTGAGTTACAGACCTCGGCTTTGCGCATGTTTTCTTTGGTGTCTTCTATCTTCAGCTCCAGATCTAGTCTGCCCTGCTCTGTGGGAGGCAGGCCGTGGCTCTCGCACTCCTCCAGAGACTGAAAACAACACACACAAAGACGCAAATTGATTAGAAATAGAGTGTGTTTAAAAATTTGCTTGATTCAGATTCACGTATTGCATTTGTGAAATGGGTATATGTGTGTGTCCTTCTTACTCTCTTGCAGTGAATGATATTCTTGTGCTCTCTGGCTACTCTCGTTGCCCATTTCCTGGCCTCCTTGTTCAGACTGTGCTCCTCCGTCGTCCCCGACTCCGACTCCAGCTGACGGCTCTAATGTAGACAAGCGTATGCACACATGCAGACAGGCGTAGGTAAACACACACAAGTACCCAGCCGCAGACACGCAAACACACGGAAGTACAGTGTCAGTGATAACAGCTTAAGGTGTGTGACATACTATACAGAGGCTGTTAATTAAACTAAAGATAGTGTGAGAGAGATTGTTTCCTTCTCGCGTAATTAATACAGCGTGTGTCGCAAAGATCTATTGTTATCCTCTTGGAACAAAATGGCTGCTATTAAAACCACATGTGCAAAACCATGAGTGTGTGAGAAAGTGTGCACAAGTGTATGTGTTTTTGTGTGTACAACTAAGTAAAAGAGCAGGAGGTGCATGGCAACAGCCCTTTATACTTAAGATTTTTCTCTTTCCTTTTTTTTTTTTTTTTTTACATAAAAAAGAAAACATGTGAGCCTGACAAAGAATCTGAATGAGGTTCCAATAGAACATGCAGCATCAATTACAGCCATGTGGTAGCTTTTCTTCAGTGACTTATGTATTGAATCTGACTCTGAGTTCAACCACTTACCAATGACAGAATCAGCATAGATCATATTTCAAACATTATTTTTCGAAAAGCCTTGAAAACACAATTTTTCAATCAGCTTCTTTCTGTGAGTACTGAATTCCCATTTAAATGGTCAATTATTTTTCTTTTCTTTGTGCCTTTCTTGTTGGTTTGAAGCAGGCAGGGATTAGTTGGGTCCTGCCACATACTTCTGTCCATCAACCACCATTTAGCAACAATTAAATGAAAATCTGACGACAGTTTGGGGGGTTGTTTTTCATTGTCAAATTCTGATTGAACCACACAGTCAAGATGAAACAGAATAAGTAGGTTTTTGAGTTTTCAGATCTTGATAAATCACAACTAAAAATCTGATTAGATTGGTTGCTCCTTCTTTAGTCAATTATTAATAATTTTACAAAAAAATACTTACTAATTTATCCCTGTGTTCACAGAGGAGCCTGGATGTTTGAAATGGATATGGTTACATATGAAGAGTTCATTTTCAAAAAAAGATAACTCCATCTTCACAAACCTTCAGAAAACCCACTTTTCCATCATCTACCTGAGGCAATATCAACCAAACTTAAGTTATCTCTAATTTTGTCATGTATTTCTACTGAGTCAAATTCACTCAACTTCAGTTTGACTGATATTATCTTAAATAAAGCATTAAAAAATGTGTTCTTATAGTCAACATATTGGCACTTCATCACTAAAAGCTCAGTTCCACACTAGTAATCCAAATTTTACAGTTAGCCGTCTTATGTATACTGCTAGTAAAAGTAGAAAAATGTCCTTTCTATCCTTTATTTTAACAATGTTGACTCAAAAATGATCTTTTTATTGCGTTCTGCGGTAAATATGGGTCACACCAAGGTAGGGAAACTAAAAGGATATTTCTGGCAAACCTGTTAAATTCCTTTTCTTCAGTTTTTAAGTCAGGCAAAGTCAGTTGTATTTTATTTCATCCAGTATCACAAGTCACAAAATTCCCTCCAAAGGCTTTGCAATCTACACAGCATGCAACATCCTCAGTCCTTTAACGAATAAGCGTGCTTAATGAGTAGTGTTCATAGCATTTATACAGTGCACGTAAATTCAGTGGCATGAATAAGTAGCCTATGTGTGAACTTTCGGATGTAAAGACATTCAGTGTCATCACTGTGTGTTCACAGACCTGATAGGTTCACATAATCTGATAATAAAGGTGTGTTAAGCCAAACTAAACTACACAATATTTTAAAAGTACCTTTTTATGCACATCATGCCTATTAATTATGTGCTGATGCAGTAACAATAGGGCATGAATCTGGCTAAGTATAGGTGTGAAACGAAGAATATTACACTGGAGATTTACAGCTTAATTACATTTAGGCACCGGAGAATCGCAGGGAGTTAAGGGAGGGAGGCAGAAAGCTAGATTAGAACAATGGCTATAACATGACATGTCATAGAAAGAGCTCAGTTAATTTCCGTTTTGATCATTTGCTAAAATTATTGACATAATTTCAGGTGTCCTACCAGCATATATACATGATACAGTGAAAACGTGAAAAGCCCCCTAATCAATCTGCATTCTGAATGTGTTAATGTATTAATGTCAATCACTGATTTATTAAACCAGATTCAAAAACTATTAGCAACTACCTTAAATTTGGTAATAGGAAAAATCAAAGCTAGTCAGCCTGTCAGGTAAGGAAAATGTGAAGTACAGCCCACTGAACTCAGAATGGTGTGATCATACTGTACTTCAATAACAACCTGCCATAATAACAGTGATCCAGGGGACTGTATAGGACAAGTGTGTTATTCTGAAGCTGCAGGGATCAAGGGTTGTGAATGAAATGAGTAAAAGTGAAGTTGTCTGTGTGGATGGTGCTTATGGCATCCTGATTCTGGTGCTGGTTTGAGTTTAAAAGTCTCTTATCAGACTAGTAGATCATGTAGCTGTAATCTTGTTATATGTCATCCCCTCAACCTCAGCACTTGATGTTGGTCTTTTCCATTGTATTACTGTCACACAAAAATACCAAAAAGGTCTAAACCTAGTGACGGTTTTGCTGCAGTAAGAAGCAACTACTGTCTGTTCTCATGCGGGTTTGCATCAATTCACACAAGTCATGGGCTCCTGCTGTTTTCTAAAAAAGGATCTCTCTCCACAGCTTGCAGACATACCGCTGTCTCGACTAATATAATACATCACGTTGAACAGCACCTGTATCACACTTTAGTCAAGGCAGCAGTATTTCTATGTAAGCTGTTTTAATGGATTCTTAAAAGCAGTGGGAGCCTAAGACTCCAGGGTGTCTGCGCAACCTGCATTAGAGCAGACAGCAGTGCCTTTACATGGCTATGATTAGACTTTTTATGTGTATTAATGGCAAAAAGATAAAAGGAGCTATCCTCAGAAGTCGAGAAAAAAATATCGCACAGGTAAAGAGCTGCTTGTAAACCAGAATAGACTGTCTATATTCAAAATCAATTACGTTTTAGTCTTAGGTGCAATACTATTTAACAGTCAGTACTGTACAACCAACATTCTCTGGTGTATAGACTTCTGCATGCAGATGTACACATCTAAAAGAACAAAAGTCTAATTATGTAGACTGAATTTGCCCACATTTACTAATACTTTCACATTCAGCATGTAGCTCGACTTTAATGTGGTGGTTCAGTAATGGTAAACATAGGAACTAATAAAGAAAATATACACAGACAAAAAGCAAAAAAGAAATACAAAACAATAACGGAGGCAGTCATTGTGTCTCCCATTACCATATTTTGAACCCATAACACACTACAAATGTGCAAATAAAAATCAGACACACACAAAAAAATTGACTCATTTATCTACGGGAGGGCGATGATAGCATGGTGATATTTCAACAGATGACATAACAGCAACTAGGTTACGGCATCTGATGAATCATCTGGTGTTGGGACTGCATTGCTCACCAACACATGTGTGACAGCATTATAGTGATGAGAGGCACAGCTATAACAGTGGTATTCAGTAATCCAGCAAATGTGGCTTTCTTGTGTCATTATCATGGAGCAACTGGAGAATGCGGAGCAAAAAAAAGCTTTTATAGTAATATTACTGCAACACAGAGAATTAGCTTAAATGGACATTGCTATTTACTCTCTAGTATTATTGGCTTATATGTGTCACAGTGTGTCCATTTGCAACCATGGGAGCAAAGGTAAGCAGACAGGGAAGGCAGGGTAGGCGGGAAAAGTTTAAAGAGTCAGAGAAATAATGTTTTTTTTTTGGGGGGGGGGGGTTGTAATAAATAAGAATTGTGAAGCAATTGCTGTTCTGTTTTCTGGTCTGATTGAGCTGTTGTTGCATAAAAGGAAAGTTGCACTTTAGGTGACACCTTTTTAAACCTGTAGTTCAGAACCTCCCACAAATCTGTCATGCTTAGTCTTACTTTTTACACTAGTAAAGGTCATATTGTTATACAGTAAGTGTAATTGTAGCTACACCTGTGTGGTAATGCTGCAGCATGCAACAGTCATGGTCACGCTACTGTGACAAATAGACATGGAGGTACTGACACCTAAGTTTCTTGCTTAAACTTCCACTATAACTCTGTAGAAGTGGAAAATCTATCCCGAAAGAAAGTTGCACACAATATGTCTGTATGGCTGCGATAACAACGATATCTTCCTTGAGCCACAATCTGGAGAGTCAAAAACAAATAATTTGTAGAGCACAACCATGTGTCAACAGCGATTAATAAGACAATATTCTTGCTCAATAATAATAAAATAAACCTGGGTCCTAGCAGTACGAGTGAAAAGCGTGAGCCAATTCTTAATCTTTCTTCCTAGTGACTTCATGCGCTAATATTTTGCATGCTGGTGCTCACTGTCCCCTGTGTAAAAGCCTTGTGCTGAAACTGGCTAGACATGCTGTAATGGCTCTGCTACTCTCTGTTTAAGAAGAGGGATAGGCCCTCACTGCTTGCCAGGATAGTTGGGATGTAATGGTTACTCTAGCTGACTAACTGTCTGACTGTCAATCAGAGTTATAGCATGGTCTACCATAGCGGTCCATTTAGACAGTGTCATTTAAAATGTCACAACATTGTTTTGTAATGTCAGTGACCGCGCAAAGGCTTTTCTTTGTGGACCTGTAAGGCTGTCTTTGAGAAAAATGTTCATGTCAAGTATCCAAAGTGTCATGATCACTTGTCGTGAGTATGTAGTTCAGACAAACATTGTCAGGAAAATGTACAGCATGAACAACCATCATTTTTTTTCGTCTGTTTTCAATATAGCAGATCATCTATTCATCTCAGTTTGATTGCGACCATGCAACCATAAGGATCTTGAAATGAACCAGATGCAAAACAATCAAACCACAGTATGGCTACCACTAATGGGAAAAGTTGTTTTTGTGGGTCAAAACCAGACACAAAATTCTATGTTAGAGCATTCAGTCCCTTTGTAGTGCCCATGCAAACATATAGTTATTCATATGTACGCAAAAAACATCAATCACAGCCTCAGCTGTCAGGGTGTATTATTAAGATATCTAGGAAAGCTTTGTTTGATACAAAGGGCTCCCTGCAGTACATGTTCAAGTCAGAGATACCATGAATGGAGTAGATGAGCCATGGTTTGTGTTAGGGAATGAGGATGGGAATGCTAACAAGGGTTAAGACTACCTGTGCCAGGGTCATTCTCATGGCACTGACGGGCGACGGCTCAATGTCCACCAACTGCTGCACCGAGCTCAGAGTCTGGCACACACACATACAGACAGGCAGGCAGGCATCCGCGGACCCACACACCCGAGAGCAGCAGTGCAAGCACACGGACACACAAACACAAGGAAGGGTTAATGGAAAAAAGTTTAGGGACAAGTGTTAGCAAAAGGTTGTACAGGAACAGGAGGACACAAGGAAGGAATAGAACATTGTTACTCAGAAAAACGTTAGAATACAGGAAAAGAGGAAGAAAAAAGATCAGTGAGGAAAGGAGAAACTGGCAGAGAGAAGCTGAGAAACAAGAGAGCACAATATGACTCAGACACAGGAGAAAAGGATAGCTACTCTGTAGAGGGATTAGGAACCATGTCCAGTGAGAGACATTTCTTTTTTAGCCAGCAGTGCTTCGAAAGTCGCCGGAGAGGGGAGACAATATGATTCCTGCTGCTCCTTTAAGATCACACAGAGCCTGACTGTTTGACAACAATCTCCAATCATTTTAAACATTAGATTTTAGATTTGACAAAAGATTTTAGATGGACTTCGGTGAAAGATTTTTTTTTAAATTCTAGGACTAGAAAGATAAGTTCCCAATGGACACACAACATTTTGCCGTTGACACTTAAAACTAGACCACAGAGTTGATTTATGTTTCTATCCGACTGTCAAAAGACAGTAGTTAACTGGACAAGTCCATCTTGGATTGTTAACATAAAAGAAATCTCCAATGGCTGAAAACAAAAGACCCAAAGATCTCTCCAGGGAGTAAGAATGATCAGAGCTTTGGCTCTCTGATTTTCAGCTCGACAAGCCTCTCAGCCCAAGATGTATTAATGCAATTCACTAAAACCATAAGAATAAAGGTAAATTAATTCTGCTTTAGTGATTCCACTGACTGAGATGAGCTTGAGCACGAGACTTAAGTCACAGATGTAAAATACAATATTAAAGGGGACAGAAAAAGTAGGATGAGGGAAAAGCCCACATGTGTCAACACAAGAGGCTGATTGCTATCTGTATGTGGGAGTGTGTATGTGTCCGTGTTTGAAACAGGAAGATGGAGCTAGAGGTGCTGTTACTGCTTTGAACAGGTTCATATACAAACAATCCAAGCACTAAAAGCACAATGCTGCTTGTGTATGAATATTAATACAGTGGATGTGTGTGCAGCTGTGCGTGTCTCACCGTGTCACATTCGCTGGGCTGGAACTGGAAGTCGTGTGCTTTGTGAAACACCGGATTCTCTTGCATGAACAACTGCTGGTTAAATTCTTGTATTATCTGAGAGAAAGACAATGGAAGAGAGTTAATCCTGTACATTTGCATGCAAGTTTGCAGCTGCAAAAGCTCATCAATATCAGAATCCATTGTAACCTCAGTGAATCCACGCTGACCCAGCTTCAGCTCCCAGTGAAGCAGCAAACTACAAACTCGTTTTTTTTACCAGCACATTTCAAGCCTATAGTGGGTGAGTACTTCTATTTCATTCATATATTTTAGGTTTGATTTTTGAGTATCGTGTTAATGACATCCATTTTCAGGTTAGAAGTCGTTAGAGACATCAATAAATGTATCTGTTTAACCAACAAAATTATCTGTCTGTGTATTCTGATAGTAGGCCAGATGCTGTAAACGCGCAATGCTGTGGATTAGTGTTTCACATGCTAAACTCTGCTTGTTGAAGCTTTGCACACATTGTAGCTGATGTTACCTGTGTTAGTGTAAAGTGCTCCCAGACACTTTGTTTTCTACATATTTTTATTTTGTTTGCTGAGGATCCTGCAGAGTGCAAATCATGTGTTACTGTCACTTGAAATTGCTGTTGTCTGTTTAAATAACCATGAAATACTTGGTAGGGTGATAGTGGAAGCTAAGTCAAACCACCATGAAACCTGTGGCTGACATATATGAAGAGCTCATTTGCAAAAACAGATAACTCCATCTTCACAAACCTTCAGAAAACCCACTTTTCCATCGTCTACCTGAGACAATATCAATCAAACTTAAGTTATCTCTATTTTTGTCATGTCATTTCTAATGAGTCAAATCCACTCAGCTTCAGTTTGATTAATATTATCACAATCAAACAACAAAAAAATACGTTTTCTGAAAATCTACAAAAATCGAGTTATCTGTCTGAAATACAAAGTAAAATGTTTGCAGCTTTATTTTGATCTAGAAACTACAGAAGTTTTAAAAGAAATCCAGCTGCCACACCAGGCTTTGGTCTCTCTGGCTCCTGCACTTGGCGCCGCTTTCTCCTCAATGGGAGAGTTTTATTGAGTGATAGCTGGAAACGGTCAGCTCTCAGCCCTGCTGTGTGCTGGCTTGGTGAGGGCAACTATAGAATATAGGCATCACTAGACACAACTAGTAGTGAAGTCAGCACCCTACATTGCAAACAGAACAGGGATTTTTTTTAGCTTGTGTCCTTCTACAATGATACACATTGATTTGAAGAAATATGATGGTTGATGCACATGCAGATCAATCATATTTTCGAATATTAACAAACAACTTCTGAAACACAAAGACATATCTGTTTCTATTACATTATTTGCCCTTTTCACGATGACATATTTCGATTAGAGTAGTTTCCTAGTTCAGGTTAGAGAGCTTGCAAATTTTACTTGATTTGCATAGCCATAGTCAAGTTTTGTAAGACAAAAAGGAAAAACAAAAGCCATTTGCAAGGTGTGAGCCCGGAAACCTGCTAGACACTATAACACAACTGATCAGTTCCAAGAGATGGCTTATTGAGAATTCTGCAAGCCAGGACATGCTGTGTTGATGAAAACCAATCACAGTGTATCGTTTTGGGAGCAGATCCATTATTTTGTCTCTGAGTTTTGGTTTCTTTAGGGAGTAGGCAGAAAGTTTTCCAGAGACATACCGATACAGCAAACAAAAAGAAAGAGATGCACCAAAATATATGGCAAAAAAAAACATGCTTGTCATGTTGTTTCTACAAACTCCTAGCAAGTTATGTAGAACAAATGAACACAACATGTCAAGGTATCCTATTTATTAAATTTTTTAAAAATTCAAATTACTGTCTAAGTGTGTCATAAAATCAAAACTAGGTGTTTTGAAATCAAAAAAACATTGTTTCTACAAGAACCAAATGAGTACAGAGGGTCTGTGTCGCTTACTACATCTGACTCACCCTTGTGGATTTGTCCAAAAGAAACTGGAAAGTGTTGTGTGTAGCTTGCGAGGCCTCCAGCTCAGTACGACACAGAGCTACCAGGTAGTCTTTGACGTGCTCATAGATTCTGCCATCCAAGGCCTAGAGGACAGACAGAGAGACGGACCAGGGGTTACAGTCAAGAAAGGATTAATTCAATGTAATTCCATAATCCGTAATAATAAAGTAGAGAGTACAAGGGAATTAGGGGGAGACAGATAGAAACGAAAAGAAGGGTCAAAGAGTAGGTGAATGATGGCAGTTAATACAAAACCTTTAGCAATATACTGCTTTTTTTACATTCACTCAGATGTGAGGGGCTATTGAATTTTCACCGTCACGCCGCTGTACCCAACAGTGTTTTATTTCTCACCATCAAACTTCCAGCAATCATTTAACCTCAGCTACTTTGTAACTGGGAGCCTGACCATAACAATGTTTGTGTCCTTTCTGTCCTTCTTGTTTCGAAGCCTGCAGGAACACTCCACCTTCTGGGATGAATTATGACATCCCTGAAGGGAACTCTTAAACGGCTCACGCTACATGAGTTTTGGGCCAATTTACCACGTTTTCCTACAGTCAGAGAAGAAATCCGGCCTGGGACCTCAGTCTGAACCGATGCTCAGGCCAGGTTATTTGCTAATGCAAGTTTTAAACCTCCTGAACTGCACAGACCTAATTTGGATCGAACATGTCTGATATCTACAAATTAAAATTAGGATGGTTACAATCACACTACTGCCCAGAGCAACGCTAAACATTCTAGCTCTAGAGGCTAACGTTATCTCAAGATAATAACACCGATCTCTTAAAATCTCACCTCCAGTTTTTGCAACAACCTGTCTTGATTGCAGGTTCCCAAACATTTCCTCATCCAAAGTCATTTAGCTTTCTGCTTTTGTTTTTTGTCACTGCAAAGTACTATTAGTGTTACACCATAGTCTCTATTTTGTTTACATCCACTTCTCCATGAGATGACGCTCTGCTCCCTGACTGCTCCCGCTGGTATTTTAAACTTGTGAGTGTGTTAGTAAGTATTTTCAAATCTTGAAGTACATGAAGTGCATGTCTGAGATTAGAGAAAAGAATATCTGTAAAGTTTTTCTCAGTACTATGTGCGTGATGCAACCCGATTTAAAGACTGTCAGGATTTTAAAACTCCTGTAGCGTGAGCCGGCTTAAAGCATATTTTTGGTTTAATCCTCTGAACCCCAAGCAGTTTCTGTGTGTTTTCTGCTCCTGTTACATTTTTACTCACTGTGGGCTCAATTTTCATTGCAATATAAAGTCCTGCACCTCTATGGAAAAAGCACAGAGAAGAAGTAGAAAGAACTCAAAAATCTGTTTTGTGCAGTTATACCACCATAAATCATAAAAATAAAACAAAAATGAGACTTGAATTTCTTGGATTACTTATTTTACAAAAAATGAAAAAAAACTGGAATCAGCATGCACTTTCCAAATGCCTACAGGCGTTACCAATACTGGAACAAAAACTTCATTTTGGGGGAATTTTTTTAATGAAACATGTAGAATATTTTGAGAAAATATTCCGAATCTGAAGCTTAGATTTGGCAATGTGTCCTGACCAAGTGGCAAATCACAGATGAGTAGTTGAAAAATCACTGGAGTGTTCACAATCCAACAATGCTCTCTGTGTTTTTGTAGTTTCTGGCTTTGACAAATGGTATAATATTGACAATTTTTTAAAAACAAAATGCCTTCAAAGCCAACGGCAGGTTTCAGGGTTCAGAGGGTTAAAGAGTCTGGAGTGTATATGGGGAAAACACGGTTTATCCATACTGTATGATATGTCCATCCATCCATCCATCCCGCCATCCATCCATTATCTATACACCGCTTAACCCTCACTAGGGTCATGGGGGGGCTGGAGTCTATCCCAGCCGGCTTAGGGCGAAGGCAGAGGACACCCTGGACAGGTCACCAGTCTATCACAGGGCTACACTTAGAGACAGACAACCAAGCACACTCACATTCACACTTGGGGACAATTTAGAATCACCAATTAACCTCAACATGTCTTTGGACTGTGTGGGAAGAAGCCGGAGAACCCGGAGAGAACCCACGCTGCACGGGGAGAACACGCAAACACGCAGAAAGATCCCGGTGCCCCCACCGTGATGCAAACTGGCGATCTTCTTGCTGCGAGGCAACAGTGCTAACCAACTGCGCCACCCTGCAGCCCAATATGATATGTATATAGCAAATATACTATAGTGTAAAATGCAGAAACAATTTAGATAGAAATGGTCATCAATATTGCAAAGTTGACTCTTGTTACACACACATCTCAGCACTGGCCTGGCACCCTTAACCTATAAATTCTAGTGCAAATAGAGTGTATGGTATGTTTTTATGAATTACATTTTCATTCATTCAACTGGGAATAAGAGAAAAGAAAACAGTGAGGAAAAAAATGGTGAGACAATAAATAAGAGGCAAGATTGTGGCAGCAGAAAGTCAGGGGCAGGACAGAAACCGAGCAGATGTTTTCATTTGACAGCTCTTATCATTAGAGGTTTTGATGCACCGATATAAAGACATTTTAATGAAGTATGCCGTCCAAATGAACAGCCTTTCTACGGGGAGTTGGGGTAGTGCTGCCAAGCTGTAGGCCACGCTGCCAAACAGACGAATCAGAAAGAGAGAACCTAATGGAGACGAGAGGAGGAGAAAGAGAGGAAGAGAGAGCATTTGAAAAGGTATAAAAGGTATTTGAGTGTGAGAGAGACAGACAGACTGAAAAAATTAGTGTATGGGAGACATGTGTGCGTATGAAATTGTGTTTCTGTGCGAGTGTCTGTGCAAAAAAAAAAAGTGTTTTGTGGATTGTGTTCTCACAGCTGCAGGGAAAGGTGAAGGGGTTCAGATTCCAATTCAACAAAACACAGAGACCGCAGACACACGCACACACGCACACACGCACACACACACACACACCAACTCTCAACTACTCAGACACGCATACACTGCTCTGGCCAAAGTACTTTACAAAAGCTCGTGCTCTCAAAAACCTGCAAACACTGCGCAAGCCAGGGGATCTTTAAGGCCAAGTGTACAGCCTCCCACTAATACCTACAACTGTCTTTTCCTTACACAGACATTTGCACACATAGCCTTATAAAACAATGGGATATTGACAAGGAAATTATGTCATTAAGGGTGGGTTGTTGGCTGACTTCTCTCTAAATGTTCCCTCATCACGCTGGTCATTTCCTCCTCCCCCTTTCTTCTCTTCCTCCCCTCCTCTTTTCATCCATTTAGGGTAGTGTTGAAATGAAGTGAGTCAGCTTCCAGAAAAAGCCCCGTCCCCGCACCATGGCCAATGGGTGTGTGTTTTTTTTGTGTGTGTTTGGGTTGAACGACTGCACGGGTGCGAACAATAAGTACGGCACAGTGGAGCAGACAGAGGAGCAGAGGTGTAAGTGTGTGTGTGTCTAGCGGCGGACTTTAAAGACTGACAGTAACAACAGCAACAACTGCCAACAGCAGAGGGAGATGTGGAGCAGTCTGTTTCCTCCTCTGTCCTTTCTCACAGCTGTCGCATTGACAAGGACAGTAGAGCTCATGTATGAGATGTAAGTTATTACTGCAGCCTGGTACAGTTCTCCTTACAGTCACTATTTATGAAGTGAAGTTTTGATCTAAACAAGGCTATCACTTATAAGTCTCCACATCTATCATCCCCAGAAAACCATTCTATTATCCTTCAGTCATCTCTTCCACACATCATCCTCCTCTCTCTGGTTTAATATTAACAACAGATGACCTAGCTTGATCTAGCTAAAGGGACTTGATGGATTTTCTCTGCTGTAGAATTATCTGTCAGTAAGATTTCTGAATGGTGAAATTTACCACCTTGTATCCAAGTGCCTACTACATCCAAAATGTTCTCCCAGTGCCATGTCTAATAATTAATGTCGGTGGCAATGCAATCTATTAAGAGCACAATACATTCCACAGGATAACTACAGCGAAAGACAAGTATAATGAATGAAGAAGCCCCAAATTTTCCAATAATGTCATAGCAGTACGCGAAATGCAGACTTTCTTGCATTGCAGATTTTGGTCCCACTGTTTGAGAGTGCCTTTAACACCGAGTTTCAGGTGAAGACCTGCAAACACCACAAATAAAACTGCAGAGGAAGGAGAGAGAACGAACAGCTTGCTTCCCTCTAGCAGTGTCCCTCATTCTCCTTGTGTGTTAGCATGCATGTATTTGTGTATGTGCATTATTTCCCTGCAGTCCTGTCCTTCTGTCACAAGGAGCTAAGGATCTATTATTCAGAATGGCTTTGTAGTATAGATGCTTATGAACGCCTAAGGCAGAGTATGTGACAGTGAGGAAGAAGGAAAAACCGAAATAAGAAGGATGGGAGGAGGGATACTAGAGAAAAAGACAAAATAAGTAAAAGTATGCTTCATTTCAATTTTTAATTCATGTTGTAGTAATTGTAAATATATGCAACAACCCTTCACTCAAGAAAAGCAAAAGCAGCAACACTGCAGGTGCAAAGTTAGCTACACCTCGGGCGTACTAACTACCAGGTCATTTCTGAGACTGATGACTGCTGGGATAAATAAAACATCCCACATGTCTGAGAGCATGTGAGCCTGAGTGTCAGGCTGACATGTCCGTACTGTATTTAACAGAATGACGTCATTAAAAACACAGTTTGGACAGCCTGTCATTTTGTGTAAGTGTGTGTCTGTGTGCACACCCATGTGTTTACAAGCACATAATAATAATAATTAGATTACTGCCTGATTAAGGCAATGCTGCAAGTATCACAACTGAAGCAGCTTAACTGGATTAAATGTGTTTAATTAAAATGAAAGTGGGCATAACCACCTTTATATTCTATCTGCAAAACTGCTTAGAATTAAAAACTACCCTAAGCTTTTCTGATAAGTTTTCTCACCTTGTACATTTTATTCAACATTGTGAAAATGAGAATTTCCTGCCTACCAATCACTTGGTAAGAGCAGGCATCAGGGATGGCTCATTTTGTGGAATTTTTCTTCACATAAGCCCCTTTTAAATCACAAATCCACAGAACGCCGTGACTCTCTTTGAAGACTCAAAACTGTGAAATCATCACTTTTTCATGTATATTTCCCTTCCAACTATTTCACAGATACTGAATGGGAAGTCTGACTTTGTGCACTCATGAAAGGAAGACATTTTATCCTAAATTGAGCTTTAATTCAAAGCTCCCCAATTTGAATTTTGGAACCAGAAAATGCTTCCCCATTCCTGAAAAAAAAAAAAAAAAAACCTCTGCGTATTATCCGAGTGAGATCCTTAAGTCAGTACTAGTTGTAGTAAAAGAACATGTTGGTACAGCATTACAAACCACAGACTTCGGCTTCTACTTTATTCAAATGTGTTGCTGGAAGGGATTTGTGGATTCTCTCTCACGCCACTCACCCTCATCAAGCTATTTTTTTTTTATTAATCTTTTTGTAAATACCTGTATGCAGTGCAGTAGATCTGTATGGTAGTAGCGGTCATGGTGAGCATTGGCAGCAGCTAGCGTTAGCAAGTAGTCATTCCTGGCCTGTGTTGCTTTGGAGTTACAGTCGCTTCTCTTAGCTTTCAACTGGAAAAAGAGAGACAGAACATATTGCAGTACTGCATCACAGCAAAATATTGGAGATTTAAGTATTAGGTCGGAGGACTTTTAATTTTTAGCACTTGGAGTTGAATTTAATGCATGACTTGTGCTGTATAAATAAAATCTGACTGATTTTCCAGCACAGGTAAACATTTGGTGCAAAAGAGATTTAAGCCAGAACCAAAAGGAAAATCACCAGCACCAAAATTATAATATTAAAAGAAAATCATTCAAAAAACAGTTTTGTTAATTAGGGGTTCATTTACTCACGCAAAAATAGAATCTGTTGATGAAATGATAGGAAAAGGAAACTCAGACTCTTTGCCTCTATTGTAAGTAGACTAATTATGCTTATTATTGTGCATAGTCACCCCCCACTCTGACCAAAGAAAAAAAACTACTTAGGAGTATCCTATTAGTCTCTGCACACAAAAGAGAAGCAAAGTGACACAGCCATTTTTGTTTATGTATTCTAGTTTAAAATAGTCTACTTGAAAGCTCTGCCTGAGTGTGCCAGTAATGGGGCTGTGTTTGAGGCTTCGAGGGTGAGGCCTTCTTACCTTTACACTTGCTTTCTGTAAACTAATTCTTGACTGAAAAAGACCCAGTTTGGACCTGAAAAACAAAACAGAGCAAACAAAGGAATTAGTCTTAATGAATAATGCATCCATATCTAATTGTATTATTAATAAATGAATATGACATTATCAACGCTTGCATTAAACAACGTGTTTTTACTTTTTGATACCCCTTGCTGACATTTGAAATAGATTGAGTTAAACATAACAAACAAGGTAGAAAGCAGAAAAATAACCGCACGTTTCGACAGCATCGCAGCTCCAACCCCTGATTCAGACCAGTCATCATAAATTGACCCTGGTCTGAACAGACTGAGGCTTGACGGCAATAAATCTCAGCCTGATCCAGCCATTGTGATTTATATCAATGGTGACATCAGAGGGACCTGGCTCGATAAAATGATAAAGTGAGCCTGTGTGCGTGTACGCATGTGTTTGTGTGTCGTCTACTTTTCTGCTCCCCTGTGGTTGTGCGCATGAAAACAAGCCTTGTTTATTTCTCTTAACTCTCACTCATGCAAAAATGCTTTAAAAGTATGTGATAATGTCTGTTGCTTGCCTATAGGTGTGAATACATGTGACGTCTTTCTATTTCTGCTGCCCTCCTTTACGCGCCAAGTGCTGTTAAAACTAAGTGCGTGTTGTGTCGCTGCATTCACACCTATTTCTTCCTGTGTGTTCCTTGTGCCTGACAATGACTAATGTCTCGCTATTTTTCTCTCCTGAAATACACACACACACACACACACACACACACACACACACACACATATACGCTTCCACAATGCCACAGAGGCGATGCAGTAGTTTCTGTGGCTGTGACTTTCTACTGACTGATAGAGAACAGAAAAGAGTTGACTGTTCAATCGATGCGAGCGTTAACCAGAGCCGAGAATTCAATGAGGTGAAAATGTCACCATAGCTACTGCTACCTAGGAATAGAAAAGAAAACAACACTCATCAGCACTGGATCACACTCTAGAACTAATTGTGAGACTGCAAAGCTTCAGCTCTTGAAATATTAGAATAGAAACTTGACTACTCAGTTGGCAGTCAGTAAGGACTCTTAAGCTGCTTACAGTGCCCTTCAAACTAAAAATCAGTCACGTCAAAATAAAAATGAGAAAGAAAATGTGTATTTTAATCAATCGAAACATTATTTATCTGCTGATCTTATTTTATTCGAACGAAGAGAAAAAAAAATTGATAAAATGTGTTAAATATAAAACATAATTTAGATTTGGTTAGTTGGCTAAACAAAATGTATGCCATTGTAGTGCTTTGATCTCTTTTAATCAGTGTTTCCTTGGTGTGACTCTCTCATTAACACCACTGAACACATGTAATTGATTTCTTCTTTCAGCCTCAATGTTTCTCCCTCTCTTTCTATCTCTTTCTCTCACACACGCATTCTCCCTGTGAGGTTAACCAACTTTGTTTTCATGACCGCGTTCCTTCTGACAATGGAGACCGTCTGTTTAGTCGTAGTATTTTTATATTTAGACAAAACTCTACACAACACACACACATGCACAGTACTGGGGCGAACTCACTTGGCCTCTATGTCGGCTTTCTCTCGTACAGCGTGGGCAACCTGCTCACAGTCGTAGTATTTTTTCTTGGCTTTGGCCAACTCTTTCACCGACTCCTGCAGCTCTGCTTGAATGCCACTCAACTGATCTATGGTCTGTGATGGTTAGAAAAAAGAAAGAAAAGAAAAAAAAGAAGAGGCAAAACAGGAAAACAGGCAAGTTGTTAAAGAAAGAGCATACCAACATGAGTCACGTTAACTCTGCGAGTACATGGAGAGAGACAGAGAGGGATAGAGAACAAAGATTGCTTCAGGGAAATATGACTAACTCCCACTGTCCACAAATCCACTCACCTTTTTGAGTTGCTGCTCCTTATAGAGTCGAACAGTCTTAGCAGGCTCTGATACTTGACTCTTGTAGTTGTCACATACGTTCAGCCTGGACTGGCTCACCTGCACTGTACCTTCTAAGTAGGACCTCCACACTGCATACACATTCCTGATTGGAAAGGGGGAAAAAGCACAAAAATGCTGAATGGCTGCTGCTGCTCTATACCTTAAATTCCCAAGAGCAATTGGTAAGAAAACCACAAATTCCGCCCGAAGAGTTGTTGAATTGTTTGGTTGCGAGTGTGGGTGATAAAAACTGCACATGCAAGCACCTGGAGAAATAAAAAAGACTTGTGTAGATATGCAACAGTTGCTGGAACTGACAAAAACACTGATGCCAGCATATCTGTAAACTGCACATTCAATTGCATTATGTTTTTTTTTTCGTCACAATGAGTTGGATCCATCTTAAGGTTTTATATTTCAGTGCTTCTGTTAGAGTGAATTATGACTCATAGCTGTGCTGTAGACCATATTGTGCAGTTGTTTTTTCTCTAGAACACTGAAGCAAACCAACAGAGCATAGATTTGGCTTTCATCTGAACAGTGCAGCTGACTGTGCAAGCAATTTGTAGATGATGCAAGAACACAAAAGTTGGAACCAAAAATAGGTTTTAGCCCCAAACTATACAAAAAATATGCATTTTTTTGTTTCTAATCCACACACACATGCACACCTTACCTATAGTCTGTTCTCTGGTCATCAGGGTTGATCCCAGGCCAGTCTCTCTTTAGGTACTGACTCGCTAACTTCTGCAGAGCCTGAAAGCACAAGAGTAGAAATTAAGCGCTGGGAGTAATTAAAGGCAAACTATTACCTGTTTTCTGATTAGTAAATCAATGCACAATCCCTGGAGGAGATGCTTTTTGACACTATCAGAAAACACCAACCCTCTTGTTAGAATAAAGAGCTGGAAACTACAATTGGAGCAAGTTTGGGGAGTTTGTAGGGCCGGTTGTTGGAGAACAGACTGAGTAAACCTGTTTGTAGTCTGTTCAAATCATAGCTACTCAGATGAGGGAAATAATATTCACAGCTTGCGATTTATAATGTATACGACAAAAAAAATTTTTTTGGCAGAAAAACATTTACTAAAGACTACTACAATAATATAAGAACCAAGACATAAGATGGAGATGAGAGCAGGTTACTTAATACTGAGTGAGTATTTCACAGTCCACTTTTGGGCTGTGAAAGGAAGCACTTAGCAGCACTTAACCCTCTTAACCCTAAAACCCGCGGGCCGGCTTCAAAGACATGTTATCTTTAAAAATTGCCAAAATTACACAATGTATCACAGTCAGAAAGAATTATTGGATTTCCAACAGTCTTTGAACTTATCATGTGAGTTCCGGTTTTCTCTGGAAAATGTCCCAAACCTAAGCTTAAAATCGTGAGTTTTCATCAAAATCACTTTATTTCCTTTCCCCCCAGAAAAAATGCCAAAATTAAACAATTTGCCCTAACAATATTCTGTAAAAAAACAAAAAGTCCTTCACTCCTTGTTGCAACTGGGAAGCCACGAGTGACTCAGCTACAACCAACAGTCACATGACAAAAAATCAGTGACTATTGGGCTTAACTGAGCTGGACTGCAGGCTGTGCTCACACAGAGCATAAAATAAATAAAATATATAATCAAAGAAATTCTGCTTTCTTTTCGTCATTTTTTTATGGCATTATAACTGGGTTATCCTACACAAAAGAAATTTCTGAATTGTCTCTAGTTCTATTCATGGTTGTGTTGTTTCCATACAGATGCAGGACTGTATACCACAATGAAAAATGAGCCTACAGTGAGTGAAAATGTGACTGGAGCTAAACAAAAAAATAAAAAAAAAAACACCCAGAAACTACTCAGGGATCAGAGGGTGAACTTGTGCAGTGGTCCACTTTACCTCTCCACTATGTACTTAGACTTCACTCTGGCTTGGTCACTTCATGAGGTCTGATTTCATTGTATTTCTGTTTCCAGTACACAGCAAAAATCTTTAATTTTGCAGTCAGTAAACAATACAATACAAACAGCCCTGTCAGCAAGAGTGACTCCCCAGTCAGCTCCTGTGTGTACGAGCAGAAACCCGAGGGCCGCAAGAAAGGGTAACCTACATCTTCCAGACTGGGTCACTGTGTCAGCGGCGACAACTCACAGACACACTGCCCTTGCGTCCTTGTGCGTATTTGTGTAGGGATGGGTAGGACAGCAAATCCTCATTAATAAAACAGTTGTTAACAAACCTGAACAACTACATCAACTCAATCAGGACAATCAGAGCTTAGGGACAAAGTGATACCCCCATTCCCCCAAGACACATTCTTGCCTTTATCTTTTTCATCACACTTCCAGATCTGCATGTAAATCTGTTCTCATTTCTGTTTACAAATCTCTTCCTCTTTCTCCCAATGATCAACTCTCCACTCCATCCTTCACTCTGCATCTTGAACATTACAATTCTCAGAGGCCTTTTTCCAAATGTTACACGATTGCTCTCCTCATCCCCATAACCCATTAATTTCCACATCCTCCCTGCACTCTCCCTCTCTCTAATATAATTCTATCGAGCTGTCGTTGTTTTCAAATTTCCACTCCTGTCTTTCTCGTTATACATATTTCATTGAATCATCTTGCATCTCTCTCAGCTTGCCCTTTTTACCTTTCACAGATGGTAACTGAGGCCATCAAAAAACCATCTACTAGATCTTACTACTCTCGGTCCCCGGACCTGAAATTTGTTTCCCTCCAGTTGACATACAAGCTTTTGTCCTGAGGGGGACCCTGGCCTACTGACCTCTGGCATCCACCAGCTAAGTCTGACAAAAAATGGGGAGAACAGGTCTTTTTCTAGGAAAGCATCTCTACCTCTAAAATGTTCCTGTGAGAGAGAATTGGCAGCAAACAGAGTACATATTTTGCAGCATAAATGAAGTGCATAAGGCAGTACCACTAATGGACAGAGTGGCAAAGCAGTCCAGGTCCTTTTTATAAATAAATTAAAAAAAATAAAAACACACGTCTTTGTCAACTTTCTATGCATTATTTTTGCCTTTGTTTAACATCATTTAAACTATCCTTACTCAGCATTCAGTGTATCCTCTATCTTAGCACACATTAAACTATGCAGGAGGTATGATTTTATCAATTGTAAACAGACAGAAACCTGCAAGAAACCCAACATACAAGCAAAATTACAAAGGCTCTAATAAAAATGTACACACTTCCAGTGAAAACTAGAAATAATGAATTAGTTGTCACCATCAATGATGGTGAAAATGCATTGGCATCAATATTTTGAACTTTTATTGTCTTCAATTTCTTAAAAAATAAAAGGGACTTATATGATTTTGTGGAAGATAATTAATCATTTAGATTCGTCAATAGATTAATTAATATTGTGTTGTCGCAGCACTGGTTAAAATGCTTCAAAGTATTATTCCAGACAGTTCATGGTTGCAAAAACAACTGTTTCACTATTGATACAAACAAACAGCAGAAAATGTAAGAAATCCATCCATCCATTATCTATACACCGCTTAATCCTCACTAGGGTCGTGGGGGGGCAGGAGTCTATCCCAGCTGACTGAGGGTGAAGGCAGGGGACACCCTGGACAGGTCACCAGTCTATCACAGGGCTACACTTAGAGACAGACAACCAAGCACACTCAAATTCACACCTACGGACAATTTAGAATCACCAATTAACCTCAACATGTTTTTGGACTGTGGGAGGAAGCCGGAGAACCTGGAGAGAACCCACGCTGCACAGGGAGAACATGCCAACTCCACGCAGAAAGATCCCGGGTGTCCTCACCAGGACGCGAACCGGTGACCCTCTAGCTGCGAGGCAACGATGCTAACCACCACTCCACCTTGCAGTGAAAATGTAAGAAATGAAACTGTAATATAGTCCGTTCACATGTAGAATGATTAATCCCAGCTCACTTTGTGCTTTTTTCACTGAATGCATTCCTTTAAATTACTGAAAATGAATAATTCAAAATTTGATCATTTTTCAAGTTTCAGCAGTCTACAGATATAAATGAGACACTTCATAAAAGCCCCATATCAGCACTTTGAACCGGTTCCTCTTGTGTTATTCAATCATTATTAAAATCCACTCATAAACGGCCCTGATGACTCCTGAGGGTTGAAAAGAGGTTGTGTGTTTCTGCCATGTCTGACTGACTGCATAGGTTACCTCAGGAAATGCAGTCAATAGTCACTTATGTAAGCTACAGTCAGAGTGTCGGAGAGAAAATCAAACATGAGAAATCTGCACACACACGTGCTGAAGCACAAACACACACAAAAAAAGAAAACTTATGGCACAGAACCCGCACTGTCCCTTGCATGAGGAAACACGTCTGTTTCAAGAATAGTCACCCTCTCTCTCTCTCTATCTCATTCTCGAGGGAAGGGCGGAGTGGGTGTGGAATGGTATTGATGAAAGTCTCATACTGTGAGCATGTTTGTTTGAAAAAGTGAACGGAAAGAGAGGGAGCATAAAGGAGGGTTGAAGAGAGACAACATTAAATTTGCAATATTAGTGCCTGGGATTTAATTGCCCTCCTGCTGTATGAACATTCATCTTTTGTGAGTGTGTTGTGCATGTGTTTTTGTGTACAAAACACATACATAACGCACACATGCATAACACAGGGAGGGTGTTTACTGGCAGCTAAGACAGCCACTCACTGTGAGCTGGCAGGCCGACAGGAGGACTTCTTTGACAGATTGACTTCCATCAATAAATATTTAAATGCCAAAAAACATAGAACCTGCAGCTGCACAGGTAATGTTAACGTCTACATTTTACAAAAGCAAAGGAAACCCTCTGAACAGTCAAAATGTGATTTAATGACACCAGTTATCGGATTTGTCTTGGATTTGGTCCAGCAGGACATCTGGGATCAGCATGTGCTGAGTTGACTTGTGTCACTCATAAAAGGAGAGGTTCACATTTTTTCAAGTCTATGTTCCCGTGGAACTTTCCGATCTTTACAATCTAAAATTTCCACCCACTTCACACTGATTGGCCAGCTGTGCAGAGGTGATAAAGGAGGCAGGGTTTGAACCTCTGTCTCTAGCTCTCTTCTTTCCTTTTTGTTACAACTATACAACTCTATCTCTTGTTCCAATATAACATCTCCCCTGTCTGCACACTTTTCACTCCACCTTCCAGCGTGGCTGCTAATGACAGCTTTAAACGCTTTTGATTTCTGACAAGGTTAGACAACATGTTGACACAACAGATGTCAGACCACAAAAGACTAATTTTGGAGGGTATCAACCTGATTTGGTTGCACTTTTTAATGCTCCAATTTGGGTTTTCTGTGACACGTTGAGTGAAAAAAATCCCCTCCACAGATGAGTAACACAGATGTTTTCCTGTCTGTATGTTTTCATTTCAGATCACATATATAATATTAAATACAGTCCTATTTTCACTATGCACCTTCTAGTTTTACTAAGAGCAACTAGAGCTATGGTAGGCAGGCAAATAGAACAAATGAATTAATAAAAACCTATTCACTCCCCCCCCCCTAAATACTCTATATGGAGCCTACTTCAAAACAATTTCTCATGGATATAAATCTTGAACACATCTCTTAACTGATAACAGGCAGCTTTCCTAACTAATAACCCATTAACTGATAAAAAGGAACAAACTTAATGGACATCATTCCATGTCCTGATACAAGTTTTAAAGCGTTCATGTGACACTAGTCGCTCCAGTGATTTGTCATGTGACATGGCTACTCC